ATTTCGAAAGTACTATTCACATTGCTAATACAAACTAAAATATCCTATTCACTGTGAATAGTAAAATTTGAATAATTTTCTCTAATCAAAAGAATGATACTGAGATATTGTTGAACATTCTCTAATCTTTCCGATTGCTGCTCATACTTTTACCACCTCTACCACTCTGGGATTTGAATTGACAATTGCATCTCTATGCTAATCTGTTATGGCAACTTGAACTGATGTACGTACGTATGTACGAAGTTCTACGCTATTGCTGACTAACTAAAACATTTTTTCGCTTTTATGATTCAGTAATGTTGAGAGATTTTGTACTGGAGAATCTTCTAGAAGTGTTGTCGTCTTTTAAAAATTAATGAATAAAAAAAATGAAAGAAACTAACTAAGTCATTCAAAAACAACCAATACCCTTGACAGAATATGAATAAACAACTGCAAAATTAATTTAACGCGAACCATTGTTAATGTGCAAAGAACTAATTCATTTAGGTCGGTCGATGGCATTAAACTTTCAATCATATTAATTAGTTTATGCTTGAAATAATATTTATCAATCACAAGTTTAGTGTTGTTAGTTTATTTAAAGAATTACTCATCGGACTTCTTTCTCTTTTTTTCTCTCTCTTTAATCACGTTCACGATTCAATGTGAAATCAAGTCGATAGAATAAATTACATATTCTACTAGTACATACTACTATCAAATGATAGTAAGCACAAAAATAGCACATTTATCATAAAAACTAGCCAATAGCAATTAAGACAAGAGAAACAGAAAATTTATTGAGACAATGGCTCAATAAAGAAAAATTTCATTTTAACTCAAGTAATCATTCTCTTTCTTTTTTTCGAAAAGGTTATTCAACAACAAAAATAGCAATAGCATTGTCTACATGTCATAAAATAAGAAAAAAGCTACTTCAATTGACTTTGAATGTTGTATTAAACTCAAAAGAAAATAATCAATATATCACATAAAATCATATCAATAAATATATAATGAAGAATGAAAGCGTTTTAGAATGGATAACACTGTTAGAAATAATTTTTAAAAAAAAATTAACACATTTAATGTCAACCTATGCATACACAGAGGAGATTAATAGATAAACAGTATTACACATAAATAGATAGGGATGAAAGTTTTGTTGAAATGAATTTCGATAAGATTATCAATTGGAAGTTTAATGTACACACTGATCATATATATATATATATATATATATATATATATATATATATATATATATTCAAAAAGACAAAAAGAAGAGTAGAGCAAGAATTAATTGAAGAATAACTTTCAGAATGAAAAATCAGATCAAAATTGATTGATCGTCTCAGTGTTCATCGAATCCTATCGACCAACTTATAATGTGACCACACCAGTGTGAGTGGTCTAGAAGAATAGCCATCAATTTACATTGTGTTTTAATCTTAGGTTGTTGGACTATCCAATTAATTATGGAAAGAAGTTACAAGTTAATAGAACTACTAAACAGACAGTATGATATGATCTAGGCACCAATATATGTATTATAACCATAAATAAATAAAAACAATACTGACAATAAAATTAAAGAGCCCTACAAAAAATAACAATTGAAAACAGAAAATGAACAGTAGTAAAAATTAAAATACCAACAAAATTCATAAATGTAGTGGTAGTAGTAGAAGTAGTAGTAGTAGGTGCATAGAGCAAATGACAATGAGCAATTATGTGTTTTTAATATTAATATTATTATGATTACTCTACAACTACGACGGACAATGAGCATTTATATAACATCACCAATTAATTGGTTGATCAACTTTACACAGAGCATTTATAAGCTTGAAATTAGTTATGCTAAATAAATCGTTGCATTGAATGCAACCAATGCTTCTATAGACATTTGTATAAACTGAAGCCACCATGGGAAATAAATAAAATCTATCAGCGATAAAGTGCTATAATGTGTTTAGGTGAGAAGGCTAAAGAATAATGATAATGATAATAATAATAATATGTGAGTTAGCAAAACTTACGTGTAAGAATACAGATGTCTACAGATATATACACACATAAATAAAATTAATTATCCTTTAAAAACAAAAATTCATTCATTCAAAACAAATACAATTATACTGCTCAAATAAATCAAACTTACAACAATTTTTGTAGGTGGACGTCGATGTGCAAGACCACCGGAACTGACAAGTCGAGTTCGATCTTTCGCTTGTCTAACAAATAATGGTAGTTCTACTGTAGTTGAATAACAATCATGCACAACGTTCACATGGTCAGCGCTAGAATCGTTAACTTTATAGGGATAATGAGACGAAGAAGGTTCATGAGTTGATGCCTTAACACTTACATGAGTTGGAATTGAAACGATAGATTCATCAGTATCAGCAGTTAAATCAACAAATTTCTCGATGACAGCATCTATATGAATTGATTGAAAAAAAAATTAAAGTAGAAATAATTTTAACTAACTATTGTCTTCATTTAAATAACAAATGAAACGCATTCAGTTAATAAATTGAAGCAAGCACAACAATTTCAAATATCATTATCATCGTAACGGAATATATGCAACAGAGAGGCATTTATTTATTTTTTTTTTAAAAAAAAGGAAGAAACAAGTAAAAAAAAAGTAGAATTGCTTTCATGCAGAACACAATGCAAAGAATTACATAAATCATAAATGATTAAAATCTGTTTTTTACATTGTGAATTTATTTAAATTCTTTTTGCCTCTTAACATTGCATATAATAAATCAGCATAAAAATAAATTCACAGCCACAGGGTTAATGTCAAAAAATGATCAATATGCATCAACCAAATCGACAGTTTATTTACATCAATGAAATGACACCTCTTCATATCTAATAATGATTCGAATTTATTCAAACCGGAAAAAAAAACAATTGCACAATTCGTAAATAAATGGTTCAAGAATTCCAACATGAAAAATTTTAATCAAAGAGAAAAGAAAATACGAGTAGCATAGTGAGCGAAGCAAAATAGAAAGAGGCAACAATGATAAATTTTTGTTCAATATAATGCTTAATTAAATCAAATGAAGCATGCCACTGATGGGAGATCTAATGTGAATAATAGGCTGTCGCGACTATGAAATCCTATAATGAAAAGGTTTGTTATAAATTGTTGCATACAGAAATTCTACAAAGTTACGAAGAAAAACACTACTATTTTGAATTTATTGATTATTTAAATGCACACAAACAATTGCTGTGTTACTTTTCATATTCTATTATTCTAAGCTTAGATGTAATTTTGGCTTCAATGAAGAGTAGTGTTTAATTAAATAATATTGTGTCCAATTCATGTGGAACTAATACAAATAGTCAAGTATAATGCATTGATGGTGCTTATTTTGATTGAATAAGTTGACTATGTCACATGAACACGTTAAGCATGTCACTTTCGTTATACTGGAATATATAGTGGAAATATTATTCTGATCAATGTCATCCTTGAATGAATAGTCTGAACAGGATTATTCTCATATTACTAATTGTTTTTAACAATTGAGAATTAAATTTACGCATTGCGTGAAAGACAAAGACAATACAAATTACAAGCATTTTATATATTATTGAATGATTGTAATATGTAATTCATTCAGTGTAAACCTATGGATGCTTATACATGCCAAAATCACTATGTGAAATGTTGAAACTCTTTCTTGACTAATAATAATGATGATATTTAGTGAAATTCAGTAATCAATGTAGATATATGATATAAGATATTTTGTGTGTGATCATTATTTACAAGAATTAGTGATATTACTCATTTACCGAAACCGATATTTGATAAGGCATATGAAAGTTGTCAAACCGATAGTGCTGAATGAATTATCAAAAAAAATAAAATAATAATAATAATTCTATTTCATTTAAAATAACTAGTTCTATATACATATAAATATTAACATTATTAATCGCCATTCATAAAATGTTAATGACTAATGTTTATAATATAATTTAGTTTCGATTATTATTATTTATATGTAAATTATATTTTCAAGTCATCTTAATAATCAAATTTATTTAAAACGAAAACTATTTGAACATGTGAAACGATTGTGAGTGACGCACTATTGAAGAACATTGAAACAAACAGACAAACAAAAAAGATAAGTAAATTTGATGAGATTATTCATGAAATGCTTAACTTGAATCAAATATTCATTAAATAATACTATTGATCTAGTAGTTAAATAATAATAATAATAATTGAACATTGATGTGATATAATAAATTGATAATTAAGAATAAATAACAATTGTACTGTTAACTAATAGTATTGATTATCATGATCATTATTGTTATCATGTAAAACCATAAAATACTTGTACTAAAACAACAAAAATCACATTATGTTGTTTAATATAGCCTTAAACGTCAAAGTATTAGAATGATAGATTAAAGCTGCATCCTCAACACATTCCAGTGTAGTTGAACAAAATTTTAATATCAAGAGAATAAGGAGAAAAATATTAGGTCATCTAATGGAAACTAGTTGTAATACCAGTAAAAATTGATTATTCTCAATAAATTGCTAATTTTGGTAATTTCTTTATCTAACGTTGATCAGACTCAATTAATAAACATTTTGATTAGTCTATTCAACTTGTTTACTGGAAAAAGATTTTTTCTTCTACTGAAACTTAGTTGATATTCTACATGTGTGTGTGCAACGGCTAATGATACACTACTCGGTGCGAGGTTCAAACATGCTATTTAACAGCTGAACGTTGAATGCCCTAATTACTGAGTCAGCAGCACTCTACGAACAGAAACTAATTTTCGAAGAATTAATCAGCAAAAATAAATTTGTGGAATTTTTCGTAACAAACTAAAGAATTTCACTAGTGTGTCGATTATCTTGTACGGTAAGTGATCAGAATTTCATTGTGCTTCTTTATTTGTAACGGACTTATTGTTCACACCCAGTATCTATTTTTCAAAGAAACACAAATTGTAAATTGACCAATTGAAATAAGCTTTTTTATTTTTATGATTGTTTTTACAAGTTAAAAGGCACAGAGATGATGAAAAAACAATAATAATAATAAGAACAACAATGGAATAGAAAATTTGTAATGACAAATAACTATATACTAATTGAAATTGGAAAAATAATAATGTAGACAATAAAAAAGACACAAAATCAATTTGAAATGGAAACTAACATACATTAGCTAATTGACAGAAAAGAGAATGAGAAAAAAATGTTTTTTTCTAAAAAAGAAAGAAGACACCATCCACCCAGTTGAGAAGACCTCACTCAATGACTAGTAACTACATTGTAGATGTTAATTTTTTTTTAACACTAATAACAGAAAGTGAACAATGATGCAGCAGAGTAGACTGTAATTTTGAAATCTCCCTAACTGTGTTTGTGTGTGTATGTAGGGAGGAGAAGAATGTGGTGGAATACAGATTGAAAGAGCAGATGATTTATTTGAATTTATGGCATGGCAAACAATAACTTTATTGTAATTATCAACAATCATGTAGGCAAAAAGGCACCGATTATTCATTCGTTGATTGTCTTAAAAATAAACTGAGTTGTATGCATGCAATATATATATATATATATATATATATATATATATATATATATTGGAGGAAGAGTATGCCCTATGTACAGTAAAATCAATCAGTGTAAAACACAACAAAAATGGTCAATCATTCACAATTCATCAACCCTATAGGTGAACATGTGATTTAAACCTAATGAAGAGAATTGCGCATAATTTGTCAACAAAAATAATTTTAAGAAAAAAAATAGGATAAAACAAAGATGACAGAGAGAGAGAAGAGAAAAGGAGATAGGTGCTTTTGTTGAAAAGTAAAAAAAAATAATATAATTTGACAGTTTTCTAGTCAATAATACATCTTCTATATTCTCCTTTTTCATTTGTCTGCTAACAGTTCATGGCATGTGTTTGTATATCCCAGTTGAACAGAACAAGCAAACAAATAAATGAACAGAAAAAAAAACAAAACAAAACAAATACATTCAAGCGAACGCATCAACACATGCAATTTGATTTTTTTTTTTGTGGAAGTTAGCTAGATTCAACTGTTATTCAAAGAAGAGAAAAAGGGAAAGGCAATAAATGGTTAATATGTAGGTGATTTAACTGAATATAATAATAATAATAATTATGATAACAATGTTATATTTAAAAATTGGGTATAACAAAAAAAAATTGGCAGACATTTATGATTGGACTGATTATTTCATTCACTCAACTTAAAGTTGTATTTATCTATGAGAGGTAGTCAGCATTAAAAAAATGTAAGAAAATTTGATATGTCGGAAAAGGTAAACACATCAAGGCAAATAATAAGATTTAACAACAGGATAATGAACATTCAAACCGTTTATTTAGTATATTCAAACTACGTTACGTGTAAGAACATAGACACACGTTCAGACGTCGCACAATAGTAGTATTTCTCGACCTTAAAGTGGCATTAGACTCTGTCGATCGTGAGGTTTTGTGCTAGTGTCTGTCAGTTAAAGGTGTATCAAAGAAGTACGATAACCTAATACAGACACTTTACTCGAACACCAATTGTCGAGTGAGAGCTTATGGCGAACTGTCATCGGAATTGGTTACTTCAAGTAGTGTCCGTCAGGGAAGTCCACTCTCTCCATTCTTGTTTAATTTTGTCACAGACATGCTTTTAGAGATAACATTATCATCGTCTGACTCTTCAGCAGTAGACCTATCAGGAGATTCATTGGTTGACTAAGAAAATGCTGATGACATAGTCCTATTCGGTGAAGACGCTGACAAAATACGGTGTCTCCTGACTACCCCAAGCAACAATGCAAGCATGTTCAGGATGCGGTTCTCACCCTCGAAATGCAAAATGTTGCTTCAATATTGGGTTGCGTCGGCACCGGAACTAGTGATAGGGAGTGAAGTAGTCGAACGTGTAGACCGCCTCATTTATCTTGGGTCTCATCGGTGCTGATGGCCTGGTGACTGACGAAATCTCAGCACGGATACAGAAGGCTCGATTGGCTTTTGCCAACCTGCGTCACTTATGGCGTAGGCGTGATATCCGTTCTCTAATTAAAAGACGAGTGTACTGTGCAGCAGTTCGCTCCGTCCTACTGTACGGAGGCGAAACATGGCCGTTAAGAGCAGAAGACATTCGTGGGTTATTAGTATGCAATTATAGATGTCTGTGAAGCATTGCTCGTATATCCTGGAACAATCGAGTAAGCAATGCTGTCGTTAGGAAACACGTATTAGGTAAGGATGGTAAGTCAATAGATGAAACTTCATCAGTTGAGGTGGTTGAGACGTGTGTTACAAATACCCGATCACCAACTACCTCAACGAGCTGTTTTGTGGCGAAGAAGTAGGTTGGAAGGAAGCTAGGAGCAACCAAACACAAATCCATGCAGCCACCTACAAGCGAACTGAGTTATGCTGGTAGATGTAAGCCACCTGGTTGGAGGCCGCTAGACAAGTGTAACCGATGGTTAGAGACTGTGGATGATGTGGCTCAAAATCGTTTGCAGTGTCGAAGGTGCATTTATTCATAGTGTTCTCTCAAATTCTGACATCCTGAATTGCTCGTCATCTATATCTTTTTCTCTATAAAGTTATCTCATTGAATTATACTTCTTGAAGATATTAATCTTTGAATCCTATTCCTCTCTATTACTGCTTACTATCTCTACCACTATTGGATTTGAACTGACAGTTGCATCTTTTTGCTAACGCAGTATGGCAACGTGAACTTAAGTACTCATGTACGAAGTTCTACGTTGTAAATGACTGACTTATTGAGTGTATAAAAACTCAGTATAGAGCACAACATAAGGGTAAGTACATGGGATAATTTTCAGATGATCGCAACAATCCATGGAGCATTCATCTAGAGGAGTTGGAAAACCTTGATTTAAAATCATTGGTACACATGGGATTAAGGACTCAGAGAGAACAAATGGCGTAAGGACATATTCTTTGTCTCCGGCTACCATGGGGCTAGACCTCTAGGTGAAAACTAAGGGAATGACTACCTAGAACAAATCACCTATCTCGGTTCGGGCAACCGGGCATTATCTCAGCTCACACAAATTCAGTGACTTTTGTGGTATCCCATTACAAATAATAATAATAACACGATTTCAGGCAATCCTACCTTGATAACTTCATTTTAATACACCAGCTGGATAGATGAATACTCAAAGAAAAGTTGCATAACTACAACAAGCTCAAAGTTTTTCAAATATTTAAATACATAAAACAACGGTTTTAACATGTTAGGATGAAAAATGGTCACGTCAAACAAGTCATTTTATTGGTATTAGAGCGTAAACAATTCAATAGTAATTTATTTAGTGTTAATTTAATGCAGGCATCAATTAGTATGCTAATATTAGGCCAATGTTTATTGATTTCAACAGTTTTTTTCTTTTTTATTGTCGTTGAAATTTATATAGAACATTCATCAACACTTGTTTTACAATCATTTATTTTACTGGTGTAAAGGTAAATTCTTCAAGATAGAAAATGTAACTGTAGTTTGGAAATAGGCTATAAATCTAGAAGACAGCCAGAAAAAAAATGTGGAGGCGTAAAACAAAATCATTTTTTGGACGCCCGCACACTAAGAGAGAAATATGGCGACAGAAAACTTAACACCATAAACATTGATAACAGGTAGACAGAAGAGAAAACAAACTCAGTATTTAGTAACAATCATTTAAAAAAAACGTTATTTATTATTCTACAATTTAAAATTAAATAATTCGAAATATCTATCAAACTTTGATTACAATAATCATAATGTTCAGACAATATTATATAGTAAAAATATAACAATATCATATGTACAATACTATCGATGCATACATAATTTGTTAGCTGTAGCTGTGTTAGTTAGTTAGTTGTATCAGTTAGCGGATCGAATATATCAATAAGTTTAGCAGTAAACACTTCAGATGTGTGTTATTTAAAAGAAAATTTAAAATTTTATTAAAACTTTAATGAAAATACCAGCATTTTATTACTATGATTATTGTTATTATTACACAATGGCAATAAATACCAACAATAATATCTACCAACAACAACAACAGCAGCAAAAAAATAGTTCAAATAACACAATAGACAGCACAATCTCAATCCGACGACAATAATAATCACAAAAAACACAGGGGGAATCATAGAGAGACAAAGAAAAATAGTGCGTTTCACACAAAAAGAACACACACAGACACACAAAAAAAAGAACAAATCACTGTCACTGTGATAGTCGATGCACAAAATTCAATCTGTCTAGAAATTAATGATAGTTAGAAATTAGTGTAAAAAGCAAAATTAGGCAAAAATAGACAAAAAGAGAGAAAAAAACAACAACAACAACAAAATTAACACCAAAAATATTAATTAATAAGAGAATTAAACAAAAGCATTTATAAGTAATATATATATATATAGATATATATACATCGATGTTATCGTAGAGAAGAAAACAACTTATTAATTAGAAATATGATTATTATTTACATTGTTGAACTTTAGAAAATTCTCTGTTACTCCTCATCTCAAGGTTATTGAGCAATAAATAGTAGAAAGAAAAATTCAACTGTGTATTCTACTTAATTGATTAAAGAAAAATACTAAACATGGTTTAATTATGATTGGAATTCTTTATTTTTACATTTTGTGATAGATAATTTAGAGGAATGTTAAGAAAGAATCTAACATCCATGATATAACTGCTACAATAAGAGTTATTTTATAGTGTGGTGGATGCTACTAGCAAGGTGGCACATATAAGTAGTATGCAGCGGAGATTCACCTAGAAGTTGTTACCAAAGAGAGGAGTGTCTCGTGATCAAAATATATGGCACGATCATAGTGTATCGAAGACACGAAGAGATATGAGAGAATACAGTTAAAAAAACATACTTCTATAGAGTAATGGATGTTTGAAGATTATGTGTGTACAAATTTTGTGAATAAACGATGTTTTCACATACATTTTGTCTGGCTTGGACTTAATCGCGCGCTAAAGTGGTATCAAAACTAATTGATTACCATGATAGGGACTCGTATACTGTCAGAACAATGTTGTAAATACAAATTTATTTTAGAACTTTTGTGTTTTAATATGGAAAGAATGAATAGGAAAGTTTTGGTTACAGTTTCCTTTTTGTGTCAAGTGACTGTTTCGATGACATTCTAAGAATTTAAGTGGGAAAAACCACTCAAAAAAAGAAAATCAGCAAAACAATAATGCAACTAAGCCTATCATCCCTAGAATAACTATACCAATCACATGTATAGTTGAAATGTAGACTGTTTATTCCCGCTGACATTTGTCAATTGTAGCATTAATGAAAACATACAAACTCGACACTTTTTAGAAACAGTAACTTCTATATTTGTGGAGATAAGTCTTTCTGTCCAGTGTGGTCAAGCTGACACTAGGATAGCTTCATTTAAAATATCATTAAAGCACCAACAACAGCATTTGTGTGTTAACAATTAGATTAGTGAAAAATCAATAAAGTTGTTTATATTAATTAGAAAATGTACAGAAACAGAATAAGTAAGTAGATTATCTTCAACAATTAAAAAAAATTCACCGAAAATTCTTATTGATAAACAACACCAAGCGATAGGTGATCATATATTAGAAATACTTTTATCAAGAGAAATAAATTAATGCCTGCTGTGATTCGTCAATATCAATAGATTAGGAATAAGAGAAATCTGAAGACAAATATATATATACATATATATATATTAGAAAGATGTAACTAAAAACTTACTGCCATTTTCGCCAGATACCACCACTCCATCATCTTCTTTGTATGAGGAAGCATTCAACAATGACTTAAAATAAACAAAACAAAACAAATAGATTTGAAGTTTAAAATATTTGAAACAAAAAAATTTTGAATAAAGATTAATTACTAAACACAATTCATCATGACTAAAACCATGGTATCAGTTAAAATGTAGGTTAATTTAAAACTTCATAATAATTAACTAAATCTATCTATAATGAGGTCAATATGACAAGGACAAATTGTACAAGTTTGTTTTTCGAAATGAGATTTACAAGGAATATAAAATAAAGAGCAAATAAGTAATACAAGACACTGAATAAACACATCAGTGACAATACTACTAATAATAATATGTATTACAAGACCGAAGGTCCTTGGTTCGAATCCTTCGAGTAGCGGGAGTCGTGGAAGCTCACCGCTGATGAGTCCCATACCAGAACGAAACGGTCGTCCAATGCTTTCAAGTTCCTAATGGTAGTCTAACAATGATCGATTCATAATCTCGAAATAATAATAATAATAATATTATTATTATCATTTGAAACGGGAATGAATGACATACATTGCAGAACTCATTTTCAACAAATACTATGCAGTCAGTTTGAATTTACGATATTTGTTAAAAATCTTAAGTAAAAGTTTTAGTCGAAAAAAAATATTAAGATGTTTCGTGTTTCATATCACATAGATTGATTGTAGTAAATAATAGATAGTGCCGGAAAAAAAAATCAACGCAAAGAAATATATCAAGTAACATAACACGATGTAGTTTGTTAGAAATAAGCATGTATAATGCTGACATGTTAAACAGTAATCAAAATGCATCGTAAATATTTCAAGAGTATGAATTTTATATGCCAAATGCACAGATTTTTTTTCCATTTCAAGTTATATTACATTTAAGTATTTCGATAAAAATAACTCTAGCTGTATAGTTAATAAATAAAAAAATAAAAACGCTGAAAACTTGATAAATATGAGAACGTAGAATGCAAGTAGCATACATTGACTTTAAGTTTAGTCATTTTATTTGATAAACAACATTCTATTTGTTTGTTTAAGTCAAACAGGAGTTTCCATTTTTGTTTCAAGGGAAATCTGCCTTAAGAAACAACTTCTCTCCATTGTTTTGCACGCACAATCGATTGAATAACGATAGCAGAGTAATAGGAACAAAAAGTAACTAACGAACAGATTAGAAATGTGATTATCACATGAAGTGAAACCTTGATCATTGACGACAAGTTTCAACTACATGGTACACATTTTAGAGTGATAAAATATTTTCAACGTTTTCACAACAAACAGTAAAACAATTACATGGATTCATCAACGAATGTTATAATGTATACATAATAAAATGTTGAACGAGATGGCTTTAACATGTAAATAGGTTAATAGAGATTGTGACCTAAAAATCTTTTGATTGACTGTTTCAATCATCTAATGTAAGAGAACACATTTTACATGTGAACACAGAATCTAGTTGTTTAAATTTCAATGTCTATTTGCATGCTTCAACTTAGATCATAATGATCTCATTCAAACAATTTAATTAAACAATCTAGCAATTCTCCAGTGATTCTAGCATTCCCTTTCTCCCTCTAAGTAACTAATTATTCACATAAATTTGATTCATTTACTTGAATAGTCACATTTTACTGTGTTAAGAGAGTAAAGAAAGTAATTATCTCATATAATGAATCATATTTACACATTGTATCATGTTGTATAGGAATACTAATGTGTTAAACAACAATACAGTCTGATAGGAAATACAGCCACATTTATTTAAAAAAAACTCATTACTTAAGACTTTATGTTCTTAAGTGATGGTCCTACTAAACGGATGCGAAACATAGCCGTTAAGAGTAGAGGACATTCGTAGGTTACTAGTCTTTGGTCATAGGTGTATCCGAAGCATCGCTCGTGTATCGTGGGACGACCGAATAAGTAATGCTATCGTTAGGAAACGAGTTCTAGGTAAGGATGGGAAATCAATAGATGAAGTAGTGACACTTCATCAGTTGAGGTGGTTGGGACATGTGTTACGAATGCCTAACCGCCGACTGCCTCGACGAGCTATGTTTTGTGGTGTAGGAGTAGGTTGGAAGAAAGTTAGGGGCGGCCAAACTAAAACACGGCAGAAATGCATGAGGTTATTGACAAGTGGACTGAATCATGATGGTAGATGTGGGCTACGTGGTTGGGGTCCGCGAGACGAAAGTCCTTGAACGACATGGCTCAGAATCGTTTGAAATGGCGCAGGTGCATCCATTCTGTGTTCTCTGAAATTCTAACCGGAATTCCTTATCACCTCTGTCTTTCTAACTTTATCTCACTAAATGATACTTTCCGAATCATATCTTCGCTCCCTAATCTTCTCCATTACTGCTAATACTTCTACTATCACTATCACTCTTGGATTTGAACTGACAGTTACGTCTCTGTACTGACGTGGTATGGCAACCTGAACTGATGTACTTATGTACGAGGCTCTGCGTTGTATCTGTCTGTCTGTCTAAGACTTTATGTTACAAATTGATTTACTTGACTGGAGGATATTTTTTTGTTCTTCGGGCAAGCAATACTTAAATTTCAAAATTTCGAAATATCATAAATATCAATAAATAATATCAATGTGATCAATTATATATTGCTTGATGTAATTCGAAAGAAAAAAAAATTAGTACCGAAAATGTTATTCAGTAAAATCTTTATTTATTGAACAGTGAATCATACTTTTTTTGTATGCACCACTACTGGTACTAGAACTATCTTAACAAGATATTAGATGATGTTAGTTTGAAATCAGTGATTTTCTAATGGTGTTGATAATCACCATTATCAATATTACACGCTTACAGAAACAGTCTAGTAGTACAATATGACATGTGAACATCATGACCAAGTGACATAAGAGAATAGGATATATGCATATCTGTGTTTGATAAATATGGAAATTCCGAAACAGGTCAACTGTTTAACTTAATAGTAAGTATATAATATTTCTGTATAATAAATGCTGATAATTATTAATATTTTTGCTAAGGACTACCTCATAAGGTCAACTATCATTTAAGGGTGAAAAAATTACGATTAATATTTACTGACATAATTACAATGGTTTACAAGCTATTCGTAAAGGATACCAATATTTTTCACCCAATATAAAATATATCATATAAATTATTGATATTGGAACACAACAATTCAGCTTAAAAAGAAACTAGGTTTTACACAAAATTAGTAATGGACAGCAATCTATAGGGTCGGAAAAGTGGTTGACGTGAGAGACAAATAGATGAAGCATTAGGTAAACACTAATAAGTTATGCACGAAAAACCAGTGAGCCTTAAAATATTGCGGGTAAAAAAATGAGATATAAGTCACATATGGAAGTCTAGTTTACGGATTTTTCGTGGCGAGTGTTGTTTACGAAAGAATGAAAAGTGGTGAATATCCGGAACTTAAAACCGGTTGATGGATACAGAGGAGACCCCCAAAGGAAGTTCGAAAATCCTGATGTCAAAATAATGGTGGATATGGGCTCCAAGGTCCGGAGGGAACAAACGGTAAATGAGCTTGGTCTTGGTCACCGGTTAGCGTTGGTCATTAGAAGCCATAGTAATCAGTATCAGGTAAACAGTATAAATTTATAAAGAGAAAATAATTTATATGTTACATGCACTTACCGAATGGTATATTGGGTTACATAAGTTACTAGCTCCCGGAGAGTAGCTGAAATTCACCAAAACAGAGGAAATTTATATACATATATATAAGGAATAAGTTTAAATATTAATTGGGGTTACAATGATTAAGACTAACTTGTTAGTAATTGACACATTTTGCTGTTGTGATGACATTAATTCTGAACATTTCTGTTGTGATTGTTTAAGTTCCAATTCCAAATGACGGCAACGTAGACAAAGTCTTTCAATCGCTTCATCCGCTGCAGCTTCTTGGGCAGTCAACTATACGGGGTGGAAAAAAACCCAAGTAAGAAAATTGCAGAACATTTGTTGTTTATACTCGTATTGTAGGAATGGTGGTCTCAATGTTCCTTTCATAAATAATTGAGATGCCACCATACAACTAAAATCAATGTGTACCGGAAGATGGTCTCGTAATATATCATGGACTAATTGCAATTAGACATCAACAACGTTCAGTGGTCTAGAGGTTAAGGATTGGTGCAGGGTCGAGTATGCATTGGTGATCTAACATTAATCACGCCAAGATTTCAAATCAAATAAGTTTTATTTACCATATGGAATAGTGTTAGAAGAAACTGGTGATATCAATTTCATCTGCATAATACAGCGACATGAATGTTTAATAAATTAAAATACATATCAGATTACTATATTAACAATCAATATTCACACAAAGATTAAATGACTTACACGTTGTTCTAGATTTCGAACACGAGATTGAAATTTTCGTACTTGAATTCTACAATCATGCAATTCACTAGCTAGTGCCCAAGACACAGTACTAACATAATCTTTATTCAGATTTTGATCAATATTATCATCTCTATTAAGTAGATCAGTTGGTAAATATACATTGTCTTGGATAAGTACAGCTTGACGAATATACTCCAGTATAGCTTCATTACGTCGACGAGTTGATGCTGCAGTGGCTGTACCTTTCAATGCTGATCGAGGACTAGCATGTTGATAATTCAAACTAGCAGAATAACCATTCAATGCATTTGTATTATTGGCACAATTTGATGATTTTCTAAACTGTTGAAAAAGACTGTTTACAGACGATGTATCGTTGGTATCATTATTATTAAGATATTCCATTTCATAATCGATACTATTCTCATCAACAGCTACGAAATCCTCATCATCATCATCATCATCATTAGTCCATCGCTTAGCTTCTTTCAATGATCGTGTAGCTTCAGCAATCAAATTATGTAAAGCTTCGGTAGAATCGCCACCTGATAACTGAAAAACAAAACACAGAAATTAGACATATATCATGAGCTTATATGAGAAAATTCAACATTGGGTCAGTGCTATCGAAATGATTATGGTACACATTATCAAGTAGGTACCTATATATTCGGTTTTAAACCACAAACCAATAAAATATCATCAGACGGTAAGTGTTAGTACGATAATACATAAATATTTATGGTGTTTTTTTTAAAAAAAGAAACTGAAACCTCTAATCTCTCAGTGTGCGTTCACAAGGCTTTTTAAACTAAATTAACTAGTCTAGATAATCTATCTCAAGCTCTTGACAATTCATTCAACAAAGCTATTGAAATAAAAGAGAGAAAAAAAAACAAACAAAGAACAGACAAGAAACAAACATAAAATCCAATTCAGACAATGGATAACATCAAACAATAAAATTTGAATTTTTGTTATTTTAATAAAATTCGTGAGGAATACACATAGAATGGAAAAACAACACTTTGTCTATTATACTGTAAGACGAGTCAATAGTAGTAAACGAAAATATCATAGATTAGTATGTTTGTGAAGTTTCATTCAATGAGCTAGATGGTTGAATTGTTAAGATTTTGTCTTTCTAAACAATATTAGAAGTGAAAAAGAGAGAGATCCTAGAATTTCTCTACAAGTGATTAGCGATTCATTTTGTTGATATTAATTGTGACTGGTTATCGTCAACAAGAGGTTTTGCCATTTATTTTGATAGTCTTACATGATTCCTGTCCACATGATTATGTGTTATCTCTTCTCGTTACTTGATAACTTCACTCCGTATTAATATGCTTACTGGATGCTGATGGACTGATGATGATGATCAAGTTTGACATGAAGCAGAATAATGAAATCTTTACAATTAAGGTCATTCAGTTCAGAGAAAGTAACTTCATCAAAAATAGACTAATTAACTGTATATCTCCACTGACTAAAGAGGCATATGCAAACGTAACTAGCTAATCGAGAAATCATGAAAATAGCAGTAAACAACAAATGGAGCTTTATAAATTGCATAAATTAAAAGATATTAATATTGTGACCCGATAGCTAATATTCTTCACTACAGAATGATGAGAAATAGGCAAATCGATGAGATCGATTAATATTTCATACTTATTAGTTATGCAACATGAATATACATTGAAATGTTTGTGATAATTTGGTCTAATTCACTCATTTGTTTAATGATTGGGTATATAACGCGAGGCCACAAATATGTATTCATATACGGGCTCCTGCGATCTGATAATGCATCATCCCTACTACTTTATCTCCGTTGATGTGCTGCGCTGATCAACTTTCGACTAAAAAATTGCACGATCTGCAATCAAATACCGTACATTATACACACATTTTTGTAATGAAGGGAGAAGAAGAGGTTTACGAACTTTTACGAAATAGGAGCTTGGAGTTTCAAACACATAAACCACGGATAGAAAATTGTAAGGTTACCGATTCCACTGATCAACTGTATAGAATACCCACATAGAACCTATAGACATTAAAACTATTTTCGCCTACACACAGAATATCTTTCCTTTTGTCTTGGAATTTAACATAATTGCTCATCATAGAATTATCGTTGGATCTTAACAATTCTGTTTACCAAAAAAAAGGAATGGAAACATACAATTTCCAACAGAATGATTTTTTTTTCAGGGGGAATAAACAATCACTGAAAACAGAGCAGACAAGTATTCCAATTAAAGAAACTCAGTGAAAGTTCTTTGGATGATTATCATAGGAATTTTAAAAAACTCACAAGTATGTTATCCAACCAACCCTTATTTATTAGGCCGAATGAATAATCACTATGATTAATTAATCTAACTGGGACAGATCCCACAAACTAGTGATATATCATTATCCGACTGCAACTTAGTAGTTGAAACTCTAACACATTATCCATTGGAGCTATCAAACTCCACCAAATGAACAATTTATTATCATCATAAAAATTAAAAAATGAATAGAGAAAAACTGACTAGCTTGAAATAAAAGTAGGATGCATTATTAAAAGTCATTAAAAGAAAATACAGGTTGAAATATTCACATTTTGTAATATTCTACTCTCTCTAAGTGCATTTTAATTATCGGATATTGTTATTAGCTAGTTGTTGAAAAAGATATTACATGAAATGATCATAAAAACTAGTATATCTGAAAAGAGTAATAATCATTCAGTGAGAAATAGCTTTGCTTGTTTTTTCTTTTCACTCAAAGCCTGATACACCAATTAGATTATTCAAGGCAAATCAGAAACACACGGAATACAAAGGAGATTTTACAATCTACATCATTAGATGATGATACTGAACATTTTAATGTCTATTAATTGATTATTTTATTAGTAATTGGGTGGATTGTAAAGAGATTGACTATAAAAACCTTTCCAAACTAAAACCAATTTCCATCACGCTAATCTTACTCGTCTTCCTATAATATTTCAATCTAGCTGTTTAATGTTGCAATTAGTAAACGAAGACAGATGTAAAAAAAAAAATTTTCTATGTAACATAAAAATTTCAAATCATAAAAACAAAATCAACTAAATAATGTATGACATGAAAGAGGTAGGTAGGTGACTGAGACAAACAGAAAGGTGATTAAAGCCTAAAAGAGTTCTAAATAATAAATTAGTTAGTGAATTAGAATATACAAGACAATGAACAGAAAGACAAACAATATCATTAACAACACCACACAACACTACTCTACACAAACATTCCACACTGTGAGTGAATAAAAGACAGAGAACTAACCAACAACGCTGACACAAAGGACTAGAGGCATAACATATTGATGCGAAAACAATTTCTGAAAAATTTTTTTTTTCAAAATCATGAAAATATTATGAATGAAATACATTGGAGGCAGGGATTTCCATAGAAATTAGAATAAAAGTATTTTTAAAAAAACAAACAAACAAACAATACATTTGTTCACATGTTATTGCGTGAAACTAGTTGATAAAGCAAATCTCATAACCTCTCATTTGATATGTGAATGTGCAAAAGTAATCTTGTCATGCATGAATATTATATATATATATATATATATACCAGTGATAGGCGAGTAGTAGTAGTAGTATCATATACAAAAATGAGTCATGTTTTGTTGTGAAGCAAAAAGAAACAATAACGCACAAGCGGAAATATGTCTGAATAAGCATCGTCTAATTTATCCAGACAAAATATTTTATTGACTAATACCAGTTATCAGACAATCTACTCTAGTAATCAATAATATAAAACATTTGGAAACATTCTATATGAAAAAATCATAACAAATTCCATAAGCTAAATCAATACAGAATAATTTATCAATTCAATGTGAACTGGATTGAGGAGAGGAGAATGTTTGACTGAACTGCATGCTAGAAATAAATAAGTGTCCGATACTCCAACCAGTGGACATTTCTCTATGTAAGGTAAGCAATGACTAGATACACATGTCATACTTGTGCTAACCACCTCAACTTGTAATGTGTGAATAGTAAATTTGATAACTGGTTGTCAGTCATATGCATACTAGCAATCTTGTTAAGCTAATCACTCTTGATTTCGTATCAGTTAGTCAACAGCAACATAGAACTTCGTACGCACGTACATCAGTTCAAGTTGCCATATCACATTAGCACAGAGATTCAATTGTCATTTCAAATACCATAGTAGTATAGGTGGTAGAAGTATTAGCGGTGATCGGAAACTGTAAGGTTCAACGATATTATTCAAGAAGTAGAACTTAGTGAAATAAACTTAAAACATAAAGGTGATAAGGAATTCAGAAGGTTACGATTTGAGAGAACGCAAAGAATGAATGCACCTGCGCCATGTCATTCAGGGTCTTTAACCATCGACTACTACCAACTTGCGTGCCCCAACCAGGTAGTTGATACCTACCAACATGACTCAGTCCTTTTGTCAGTGACTTCATGGATTTGTGCCATGTTTTGGTTTGGCCATGTAGCGATGTGAAGAATTTCTAGCTGGACACTATGAAGCTTATACATACAATGAGATGTTTGTAAACTATTTTATATAGGAATTAATTAATTTATCATTTAGCATTCTTTAAATCATAAACAACTGTACTATGCAATAAAATTATTTCACAATTTAGTTTTTTAAAATTTTATTTGTAACTACAAATAATATGGTCATTTTCATATCACTTTTCTTTTAGTTGTACTGCTTTATTGACGTAACATTAATGTGAAGTGCATCATCTGACACTAATAAATAGTTATGTAATGATATTTTTACTAGAGTTGTTGTTTATTAATTAACTTAATTACATTAGGTCATCATCATTCTACGTCCTTGTAATTAACGTATACAAATTAGGAAATGCATATAATGATTACGATAGTTTTTTTTTCTTAAAAAAGACTTACGTTCACAGGATTATCAGTTTGTGTGGATACAACCTCTTGACTAATTAAAAATAAAATAGAAAAAAAAAAGATCAATAAGTAGACAACAGTAGTAATGAATTGAGAAGCCAAAAACTAGGAAGGAAACTGAACATAATCAATCCCATTTCATTGAATAATCACTGAATACTGACTAGTGTTATGTTTGTCTAGTAAGTCATATGCAACGTATAACCTGATATAGTTTTCTAGTCCCTAAGTATTGATTGTATTCGATTGACAAAGAGTCTATGTGACTATCGAGTGCATTGTGATTTTATGATAGGCGGCCAATGGCAGTCGGCAGGACATTCTCCTGAGTTTCTTAATATTTATCAAATGTCAGTCAACAAAATGTACGTGACGTCTTGAAGGAACTGATGCACTCTGGTGATTTGGAACCAGGACCAACCAATTTTAGAGTCTAAATCTACCAAGGGAGCATTAATTTCGATAAGACTACAAGTAAGTCTTACCGATCATTGACAACTAGTACGAACTCCTTAATACGGAAGAGCTTTACCTTGACCATTTCTAACTAACAAAAATTGATTAGATTAGATATAAGAAACGTTTCAGTTAGATATTACTGATGTTTTACACTGTTAGTTGATAAAAACTACAATACAAATAGAAAACAATATTAGGTATAAGTGAAATTAGTTAACCGAAAACAAATTAAAAAAAACATTGATTAGTCAGCTGAATAATGTATAGATCGATCAGAAGATATTACCTATCTTTTGTGATCCGTGTGAATGTTAATAGGTACATTTAAATCTTTAGAATCTAACATTCACGTCATAGACAAACAAATGTTTCAGTTATATGTATACATAAACTAACTGAATAGATTAGTAATGAAAACTTTTAAAAAAAATATTCATAATATGCGAAAGCTGATTGTCATCATCATCATCATCTTGTGTAAATATTGCTATACACAAAAGAGTGTGATGAAACCAACAAGTTGTCATTAGCTTTCTCAGTATTACACACTGTTGTTGTTAGTTAACGATAAAAATTAATTCCAAAAAAAATATAATAAAAATTCCAATAACTAACTGTTTATCTGATAACAATCTTGATGATTTTTCAGCCAACTCTTCTTCCTCTCCATTATTTTCTTCTTCCTCTTGTTGTTTTTCTGTCAATATCTTTGCTATACGAGAATTAGGTGGATCTTTTTCTCTGGCTAGAATAAAACTACGAGGAGAGGAGATGAGAAGAAAGAATTAGGCATAAAATCAACAATGATAACTATGAAGTAAGTGTGAATGGAAAAATCAAGAAAAGAATAATAATTGTAGTGAGAATGTTTAAATAACACGAAAACAAATATATATATATATATATATATAAAGGACAAAAAAAAAAAGACAAACGAAGATTATCTCTAAACATATTTGAAAGATTTATTCGTAAAAAATATCATCAGAGCCTGATGAAAATTACTTTAAAATCATACACACAAAATTATTCATTAACACCTTAAGCAAACTTGTGTGAAATTGAAAAATCAATCTTCAATGTTCTAATGGGAAATTGTGGTCTAAGTGGTGTTAGTTAGCCAAGCTAATCAATCATTGACGATGATATTAGATTACAAGGAGATAACAGACAGTTGCATTAAAAATCAGTGGCTAAATGGTGTAATGTGAAAAAGGAATCTTTAAAAATATTGAGTTTGATTTCATATGGAGTTGTGAATGTATACATTGCTGGAAAATACTAGATCAGAAGGGCAAGATGACGCGAAACCAGAAAGTCCTGAGTTCAGATGTGTTTTTGAAAGGAACATGAGCATTTCGGTGACAGAATACGTATATACACAAATCAGATTACTGACACAATTATCATTTTTTAGCAATAATTTTCAATAGATCTTTGTAAGATGGATAGAGAATTATATGAAACCCTAAGTTAGAAACGAGTTAACAGTCAAATGTTCTGAATGCATTTCTCTTATAAGTGTAAACTATTGCTTCATGAACGATTTGTATCAAGCCTTAAACTAATGATATGAAATGAAGTAGTTGGGAGTTTCACTCCATTGAAAGTCTCATCAGCTCTGATGAAATCTCAGCAAGAATTTAGAAAGCCTTTGAAAATAAAAGAAATGCTCAAATTACTTGCATTCGATCATACGTTTCTTCGAAGCATTAATGGTATATTTTGAGATTATCGAGTTAGCGATGCTGAAGTAATAATATGAAGAGTACTAAATAAAGATGGAAAGTCGATTGATGAAGTAATAAATCTTTACTATGTGAGATGGTTAGGATATGTATTACGTATATCCATCCATACACTAAATCAAAGTGCAATTATGGTTAGTGTAGTGATAAGCTAAAGAAAGCTACGTGCGGTTAAACTATGACACGTCACAGTTAAGTGCAAACTAAATGGTTGGGGTAGGCGCAATTATCTTAACTAATGGTTAGAGACCGTGTGACATGGTTCAAAACCGTTTGCAGTGGTGCTGATTCATTCAAACATTTTTTATTCTACTACTATCTACTAATTCTTCTTGAATCATAACTTCTATGATTTTGAGATGGTGGAGAAAACTTGTAGCTCAGGTGGATGATTGTGGTGGTGTTTTGTTCTCTGAGCTGGTTGTTTTGGTTGTGGAGCTTTCATTGTTCTTCTGAACAACATCATCAGCACGAACTTCAGATAGAAGTGAAATTCTAGAAGAGAAATTCTAATGCTTCACTTCTATCTGAAGTTCGTGCTGATGATGTTGTTCAGAAGAACAATGAAAGCTCCACAACCAAAACAACCAGCTCAGAGAACAAAACACCACCACAATAACTTCTATACATAATTTTTTTTACTACCACTAATACTGTTAGAAATCTTACTACTATAGTATCTCTCTATGCATATATGACATGACAGCATAAACAGATCATACATGTACTAAGTTTTTTAGTTTAGTTTAAAGATGTCGCAGTAATGTACACTAATTGGGGATTTATTAATTGTTGTATATTGCGAACTTATGATTTATGAATCTAAAACGGTTAAAAGATTTGTGATAATTTGTTGTTCTGAGAGGATGCTACTTTGGAGAATACAAAGATTTCATTGATAAATTGTGTGAAAACAGTAGGAGAGTCATTTGTAGACGGCGTAAGAAATATAAACTTAGTGTTATATAAATAAATAAAGAAATGACCTTTAAAAAAGGGACTTACTGAATCAATTCTCCAGTATTTTGGAGTACTTGGGCTGCGAATTGTTGAGAGACACCAACCAAACTATGCCCATCCACTTGGACAATTTGATCATACACTTGAATACTAATAAATATAAATGTTTGTATAGATAAAAATAAGACTAGGCTTTTATATGCACGTGATTTAAAAAAGTAAATACAAGTTTATGTACTCAACTCTAAATCACACTTTTTATTTCAGGGATAGTTATGATACTCAACTGTTTGAACTGATGAAAGCTAAACAGTGCTCTAATACATAAGATCATGTGAATAATACAATTTTCTAAAGTTGCATAGATAAACATACGATCTAGTTGAAAACTGAATTAATCACCCACATGTACAATGTTTGGGTAACCATAACTACCTATAAATCTGCAAACATAAAGTAGGGTTATCAGACAAGCACAATTTTCTACATTGATTTCTAATCTCTGTTTGGTTATGTTGATCAAGCACACACGAAACAGATACACTTATTGATAGTGAATATAGGTTAGAGGGTAGTTATGTTTATCCACTAATCCATCCTGTAAAACATTATTATGATTTATAATAAATGTTGACAATCTTTTGTTACAGTCTGAAATATTACAGATTAGTTTAGAAAATGAGCGCAACAAGCAATTGAGGGAATTATAATTAACCTTGAAGAAATCAAATCACAAATGAAAGTTGATATTTTTCGAAAGAAATAAAAAAAGATAATTTGATATTTGGTGAACACAATTACCAAGTGGTGAATAACAATGGTTTACCTTTTACTTAACTTTTATACTTTATGAATATACGGGTATTTTCATATATTATAATATTATATACACTCTTTAATATTTGAACCACACCTGATTAGTTAGTTCAATTCGATGAATTTATTTATATAAATTAAGCACACTTGAAAATAACTATGATCAGATCAATACAACGGAACTGTTACAAATCAAATTAATAACTTGGAAAAATGAAACTATTTCAATTTAATAATAGATGAATTAAGAAGACTTACAAAAATATAACCTTATGAATAACAAGAATCGAAAGTCAATCAAATGAAGCAGTATTTTTTTCCATTTCGATAAACAAAAAATAGAGATGTTGCACTACTTGTTTTATAAATAATAAATTAAAGTACCATTTTATGAATAACTAACTCAGTTTAATGATACAGAGAGAAATGCACTACTAGTGGGAAGATTAGCTAGTTTTGTATGTAATCGTACAACAGGATGATTTAAGGAAGGCGTTTATGAAATCTGATAAAAAAATTTTAAAAACTGAATGAAAGAGAAGATTTGTAACTCAAATGGATGCTGGTGATAGTGTTGTATCCTGTAGGCTAAGTGGTGTTAGGGAGAAGCTTTCGTTGCTTCTCTGCGAAACATCAGCATTTACTATACGCAGAAGTAAGCTGTTCAGTTAATGTACAGACGTTAAATCAACCTCTTCTAATGATCCTGTCTATGAATGATTGTTCTCGTGAATTTTTAAGGCGTTATCTGTTTAGGAGACAACAAGTTTTCTAAACTGAATAATTTAAATGCGAAGCTTCCATTGTCCTTTAGAACAACACTATTAGCATCGAACAAGTTAGGAAGCATACATTCAGTAACGTATCTCTGAAATTCTATTCTTTAGAATTCCTTATCAGCTCTATCTTTCTCTTTCTAAAGTTATCTCACTGAATCACACTTCTTGAATAATGATCTCCGAACCCTAATCTTCTCCATTACTGTTAACACTTACACTATGTCTATCACTAAGAGATTTTAAGTGAAAACTTCCTCTCTCTGCTAATATGGAATGGCAACCTGTTCCCCCGACCGAAGCTACTACCTTGACGTGGTGGTCAGGCTTGCCTATCGTCATGACCCAACCGAGCTATATTGGCTAGAACATATGTTCCTCAAGGTTCTACCATGCCAGGCAGGTCGATTGGAGAACGATCAGACTAAAAGCAGCTACCCAAGGTCTGAGGGTGAAGTCGTACTGCTGACTGCAGAGGGGTGTGACAGCAGTAAGGTGTTTCCCTCGGACAACCAGCATCGGCAGCGATGCTGCCTTCTCACAAGGAAGGAAGGGTTAGAAAAGGTCGACTCTAAAAATTTCATACCTTACCTTACCTCACGGATTTCCATCTCCGGATGTAAGGGTGCCCGCTAAGCGATTTCAAGAGCGTGCGTGACCGTCCTCAAGCAGTTGTCCCTTGAACTCTGCGGTCACGCTCCCAGGTCTCTAAGACCAACACTAATCTACCTTCCTTTCCAGGTCCCTCAAGAAACACCCTTCCACGGTGTGGGCAGCCGGGAAGTGACATCCGCCCTCATACCCATAACAGCACACGAGAGCAAATTGTTCGAAATCAAATCCTTCCAACATACGAGGTTCTACGTTGTAACCGACTGACTGACTGACTGTATCGTTGTACACATATTTTTAACTATTCTAATTTCAAACAATCTAAAATTCACCTAAAATACTCTAACACAGGTATTTACAAATTTGATATACCTCAAAGTTCATTTACATAAACTTATAATTAAATTGAGCATCGACTGGTCAATCAATCAATATAGGGTGATACAAATCTTGGTAGCTATATCACTTAAATACAAATTATCTGAAAACAACTCAAGTAGATTGTTTACAAACAATATTTGAATTTGTTTATCATTTATTTAATTTGATATAAATACAAAACAAAATATAGAAATTAGTTAGTGTGATAATATCAACTCTTAATTACTTATATTTCAATGAAATGCCATTATCTCTATATGGACCATAATTCTATGTCCAACTGTTTTATAATCATATTTACACTCGTCAAACTTCAACCAATTAGAAACATCAATATTCTATGTAACTAAACATTATTTGAAATGAAATACTTTCTACAACTAAGTAGTTATATGTAATAAATATATACACATAACAAATTTTGATTTAATGCTATAATAATACAACATTAATCATACTATTATAATATATATAATCAAATAGTGTTGAAAATGATTAAACATTAACATAGGAGATTGTAGCGTAAACCCCGTAGATTGTTTTTCTTTAACAAATTATCAGACAGATGTATTTCAAAAACATGTATTAGTCTTTTACTGATAAGGCTGAATGTATCACTCGCCGGCTACATGATGGATATTATTGATCCATGGTTGAAGAAAAATGACATGATAGTTTTCGACTGTGTTATCATCTATCTGTCATTGGATAGACGAATTAAATAAAGAGATATAGATATATATGTTTTACACAAACATACAAATGATGATTGACACTTTTTTTCCAGTCTGGAATTTCATTATTTTTAGAATTGATCTTTTTTCCCACAAGAAATAAAAAAACAGTTAAGAATAAAAAGCTCATCAACATCGAATTATTGACTATTAACTAATCGAAAACAATATAGTTCGCTTATATGTGTTGTTCTAATTTTCACAATGGGAATCTTTAATAATATTAACTAGTGGTAAATATTTGGAATTTCTTTGACCAAAATAAAACATGATAAATTTAATGTCAGGTCAGTCATTCAATACAATACTAACAGCTAGCACATATAGACAAATACTTTTAAATAGATACTTTACTGCACATAATAATTATCTGTAAAGCTTTGACAGTAAATAACTACTAGCTTCATAATATAGATCACACTTATAAATATGCAAGGGCAAGTATCCTAATCAATTTGAAACTATTTATTAAGTGTCAGTTAATCAATGTTTATATATGATAATGTTGAATTATGTAAAATTATTAGGCCCATAGAAAACACCAAAGCGCCATTTCCGACTAAATATAGACAATCTTGCTAAGGTAAATTGACAATAAGTCAAATACTCGTAAATTATTTATGCTATGACCAAATAAAAATATAACTGACATTTATAACAATAACGGAAATAAACATTTTCAATAGAATGGTTCATGGTTTAGCCAGTTAGTAAGTAAGACAAATGAACAAGTGCATTGTTTATGCATGCACACATTGTTCATATGCACCATCATTGGTATAAACAAACTACTGATCTAGGTATATATTTTAAAATGAAAAACTATTCACTTTTAAAACTATGCATGAATCATTAATATTTTTAAAAGAAAGAAAATACAATTCAACAGATGAGTAACACGGTCAACATGTGCATGTTTTTTGAAGACAAAAAAAAACCCAAAACCAATAGGTCACTATGACTGAAGTTTCGATTGCTTTTAGTAGAACAAACAAAATAACTACAAAAGAAAATCCAAATGATAAATAGATATACAGTAGTAATATTGACTAAAACATTTATCGATAAATGTTTTCTTTCTAAATAAGAGCTGATAAAATGTGTACGCGTAGTTGGTTGGGAGAGTGAGAGGGAAAGGAAGGACGAGGAAATGCTCAAAAGATTAGATAGACCGCAACAGCAAAGAATCGAAACATGAATTTTCAAGTAAAATATCAGTTTGTATGTTGTACAACGATTGAAATTAGTAATCTGAACATTATGACTGATATATATATGGCATAGTTTGCATGCGAAATAAGCGCAAACATGTAATACGAGTTAATAATGACACATTATGTTATATGCATAAAATGTATGTATGTAAAGTATGAAGAGTTATTTCAAAACACAATAATATATCATCCGTCTTCCTCTTAGGAATGATATTAAAAACAATATTTATTGTTACATGCATAAGCGAATTGCTGATAAAACATCATAAAAAGATGGCGGCATTTTAATTAGAGAGGGATGACATGGCGTAAACTTTGTCAGAGGATAATCAATAATTTTCAGTGGATTATTCACCACTTTTATTTTCGCTTACATTTATCAGTTATTATAATATATTTTTTCAAAAATAAAAATAACACAAGTATTGATTAAAGTATTTGGCTTTGAAATGCGCTTTAGTTATGTAACAGCAGATGATATGACTTAACTTCAAAAACCAGAATAAATAGCGGCAAGGTTGACACTTGCTAACAGTCTAATGATTGGAAATCCAGTATTTCAATGACAAAGCCTAGTTCTGGAACAAGACTGTCAAAGAAAAACTAACGCTAACAATGTATACGTCACAACCGTTGACAAATAAATGGAATCGGTGTGTGAGTGTATGTGTTTTACATATCCAGCTATTGGAAATCTTAGTAGTCCTATCAATTTTAATGATGTAAAAACATATAATCACATACATTTCACAAAATAGCAAACATTATACTTTTAAAAAAGTTTACATTTTTAACATATAAATCAATTGGAAAGGAGTGGATGAGAAAAGGTGTACGACTTACCGACCATCAGCTTCTGCAGCACCTCCAGGAGTAAGTGACTTAATGAATATGCTTAATTTTTGTTCGCCAGATGAAGTATCAACACCGGAACCAACTATACTGATACCGAGACCATTTATACCTAAATAGAAACAATTTACGCCAGTAAATATCCAAAGTTATTATTAGTGAATAAAATTACAGTTAGTAATTTCGGATAGACAAAATAAATATAAACTTAAAAAGTTTAAATAAAATACTATGATTGAACTATTATATATATATATATATATATATATATATATATATATATATATATTTATCCACGTGACTGAATTCACATGTACACAATTCTAATGTCCAGTTCACGAGTGTATTACACATTTCTCTAAGAAAAACATACTAGTAACGCTTAATATTCATGTAACTAATGTAATAATGAGATGATTTTTGTACAACTTTTACACACAAAAATAAAATTGATTTCGTGTAAAACAAAAATTAATCAAATAACAATAAATATACATTACGAATAAAATTTAAGCCGAAAGAGAATTCATCCAATACAGTGAGAATGCAAACGGATTATTTTCCAAAGAAACATCGTCTACTATAAACAACCAGTTCAAAATAGAGTCAGCTAGAGAAATATCGAAAAATAAGTAATTTTGACACGAAGAAATTTATTAACTATTAACTGATTCAACTGAAAATGACAGAATAAGCCCATGATCTCCACTCAACCAGAATAGCAAATCAATTTAAGTCCTCAGATTCTAAACGAAGTTGAAAAAGCTATACGAAATCTAAAGTGAGGGAGAGCAGCAGGGTTACCCCTGGAATTTTTAAGGATGGTGGTCCACTTTTAGCAGTTAGATTGACTGAGATCTTAGGTAGGATCTGGGAACTGGGCATAATTCCATCTGACTGGTCTCAATCACTGATCGGTCGCGGTTTTCCCCTTCGAAATGCAATACATTGCTTAAGGAATGGCTTGTATCAGCACCTCAAATAGTGATATAAAGTGAGGCGGTTGAGTGTGTTGACCGCGTCACTTATCTCGGCAATCTCATCAGTCCCAGTGGCCTGGTGACTGACGAGATCTCAGCACGGATACAGAAGGCTCGATTGGCTTTTGCCAACTATGGCGTCAGTGAGATAACCGTTAGCTAACCAAAGGATGAGTATACTACACAGCAGTTTGTCCTAGTATATGGGTGCGAAACATGGCCAGTAAGAGTAAAAGATATTTGTAGATTGCTTGTCTTCGATTACAGATGTCTTCGATGCATTGCTCGTATATCCTGGGACAATCAAGTAAGGAATGCTGTAAATAGGAAACGAGTATTAGATAAGGAAGGCAGATCAGATGAAGCATTGAAACTTTATCAGTTGATATGTCTGGGACACATGTTACATATGGCTAACCACCGACTGCCTCGACGAGCTATTTTTGTGGTGTAGGAGTAGGTTGGAAGAAATCTAGGGGCGGCCAAACCAAAACATGGTACAAATCCTTGAAATCACTGATAAGTGGACTGAGTCATGTTGGTAGATGTAGGCTACATGGTTGGGGTCCGTGACACGAAATTCACCGATGGTTAGAGACCTTAAACGACATGGCTTAAAATCGTCTGCAACGGCGCAGGTGCATCAATCCTTTGTGTTTTCTGGAATTCTAACCTTCGGAACTCCTCATCACCTCTGTCTTTCTAAAGTTATCTCACTGAATTATCCTTCTTGAATCATATCTTCGCTCCATAATCTTCTCCATTACTGATAAAACTTCTATTATCTCCACCACCATCGTCGGATTTGAACTGACAGTTACGTCTCTGTGCTGACGTGGTTTGGCAACCTGAACTGATGTACTTATGTACGAAGTTCTACGTTGTAATCGACTTAATAAGCATTTATGACGTTTATGTGTACAAAACCCGGTTAATTCATCATGAAAATCATGTTTCATAAATGTAGAATAAAAACGAGGTTTGTTCAATAGTATTATCGCCATTATCAGACACCTAGCCAAAGTATTAGATAAATAAGGAAGGGAAATAAAAACAAATGCTGAAAAAAAAAAGAAATAATTATTAATTAGGAAAATCACTACTAAACTAGTAGGATGAGAAATATTCATGGTCTAATTTTGTGCTAGACTATGTAAACGATGAGTAGTTAACGGGACTGGAAAATATTATAATCAAAGTATTACATATGTAAGGCATGAACAACAAATACTGAGATAAAGCGATTTTACTTTATTTTGTGTATACACAGATTTTCCATATAAACAGATAAATAAAATATTTGACAAACGTAATCTTTTGCGTAACATGCAGATGTGATAACCGAAATTATTCTGATCTACAATTTAGATGTTTCGATTCAGCTGAATCAAATTTACAATTCCCATGAGAGCACGAATTTCAAAATAGGATGAAGTTCTCAAACTCACACAAGACATGAAACGTAAAAGATTGGTTTCATATTTTGTTTACTATAAGCTTCTTAGTTAAACACACATTTGTACTTCAATATATTTTATATAAAAGAAGTTCAGTTAAGATGTTATTCTTAAGGTTAATCAGATCACATTCAGCTACTCCTGAAAATTCAGACGAGGATAATGTTAACTCTAGGAGCATGTCTATGATAAAATTAAACAAGAATGGAGAAAGTGGACATCCCTGACGGACACCACTTGATGTAGAGAATTCCGGTGACAGTTCACCATAAGCCCTCACTCGACCAGTGGTGTTCGAGTAAAGAGCTTGTATAAGGTTAATGTACTTCTTTGGTACACCTTTCAATGACAGACACTGCCACAGAACCTTACGATCAACAGAGTCAAATGCCGCCTTAAGGTCTAGGAAAACAACTATTGTAGGACGCCTAAATGTATGTCTATGTTCCAGGACCTGTCGTAGTGTGAAAATGTGGTCTATACAGCCACGTCCAGGTCGAAAACCAGACTGGTTTTCTCGAGTCTGCTCTTCACGAGCTTTCGTTAAGCGTCGAAGTATTATTGAGGCCAATATTTTAGATACTATATTAGTTAGACTTATTCCCCTGTGATTGTCACAAGAAGACTTCTGTCCTTTCTTATAGATTGGGACAATCAAGGATTGAGACCACTCGGATGGGATTACGTCCAGTTCCCAGATTCTACCTAAGATCTCAGTCAACCTAGCTGATAAAACTGGACCACCATCTTTAAATATCTCAGGGGTCAGTCTGTCAGGACCTGCAGCTCGTCCTCGTTTCAGATTTCCTAACGCTTTCTCAACGTCATTAAGACTAGGGGGACTTAGGTCGATTTGCCATTCAGGATGACTGGAGATCGTGGGTAACCGAAGAGTGGCTCGTGGCCAGTTGAACTGATCCCTAAAGTGTTCTGCCCATCGATCCAGTCTCCTGGATTGAGAATGGATAATAAGACCATCCTTTTCCGAGATGGTCTCACTCACATTCGGGTTCTTAATACCGGTTTCTTTAATAAGGCGGAAAAGTTGTCTAGTGTTGCCTATCGCCGCTGCCTTTTCCATCGCTTTTGCTTTCGCCACCCACCACTGTTCGCGGTCGTTACGCAGACTTTTTATAAGTCTGCGCCTAAGCTGACTACGCTCTTCATCGTGCTCAGAGTCAGGTGGGATGCGTTTTCGAGCATCCATCAGTTCGGTGGATGCGACTGAAATCCACGGCTTCATCCTAGCCTCATGGTTTACCTTCCTAGCAGATATCACTGCTGTTTCCACAGCAGTTGCATCGGCACCTGAACTAGTGATAGGGAGTGAAGTAGTCGAACGTGTAGACCGCTTCACCTATCTTGGGAGTCTCATCAGTGCCGATGGCCTGGTGACTGACGAAATCTCAGCACGGATACAGAAGGCTCGATTTGCTTTTGCCAACCTGCGTCACTTATGGTGTGGGCGAGATATCCGTTTGCTAACCAAAGGACGAGTGTACTGCGCAGTAGTTCGCTCCGTCTTACTTTATGGCTGTGAAACATGGCCAATGAGAGTAGAAGATATTCGTAGGTTACTGGTTTTCGATCATAGGTGTCTTCGAAGCATTGCTCGTATATCGTGGGACACCCGAGTGAGCAACGCTGTTATTAGGACACGGGTGCTAGGTAAGAATGGCAGATCAATCGATGAAGTATTGAAACTTCACCAGTTGAGGTGGTTGGGACATGTGTTGCGTATGCCCAACCACCGACTGCCTCGTCGAGCCTTGTTTTGTAGTGTGGGAATAGGTTGGAAGAAAGTTAGGGGCGGCCAAAACAAAACATGGCAGAAATCCATGAAGTCATTGACTAGTGGACTGAGCCATGTCGGTAATTGTCGATTACCTGGTTGGGGTCTACGAGATGATAATAATCGATGGTTAGAGACCTTGAATGACATGGCTCAAAATCGTTCGCAATGGCGCCGGTGCATTTATTCTCTGTGTTCTCTCAAATGCTAATCTTCTGGATTCTTCGACCCCTCTAGTTTCGACTCTCTAAACTTTTCTCACTGAATCATACTCCTTGAATAGTATCTTCTAATCCTAACCTCCGATTATTTCTAATTCCCTTACTACCTCTTCTACTATTGGATTTGAATTGACGATTACTTCTCTGTGCTGATGTGGTATGGCAACATGAACTGATGTACTTATGTACAAAGTTCTACGTTGCATCTGACTGACTGACTGACAGTTAACAATGAAGTAGAAGCTATTTAAAGGACTTTAACCAAGATGATCAACATGAGCTGCTAACAAGTGAGATTTTACAACAAGCGATCGGCCCTAAACTGAATATGCTCTTCAAACTTAAATTCAAACAGTATGATTATACAGTAAAGAATAGGTGTCAACGAAAGGTCAGAAATAGACTGACCTTTCTTAACGGCAACTTAATTATCAAATAAGAAACATAAGCCTACTCAGATAACCTAATTTATATAACAAACCACTTGCAGTTACAGTTAGTTGCATTTATCTTAACCTGCAACAGCTCATAAGTTGAAATCAGAAACGGGATATCATCTGAAATAAATTTTGAATTCATAAAAGAATTTTAAAATAAATAGTCCTAAATTATACAGTAGCTCCATAAGAATACGTATAATGGATACAAATCACTCAATAGATCAATGTACTGGTTTTCGAGTGGTTAGTAGATAGAATAATGGATCGATTTCATAAGATTCTACATCTTGAATATCCTCGAACCCTAACCTCTCCGATTACTGCTAACACTTCTACTACCTATACTATTACGGGATTTGAAGTGACAATTGCGTCTCTATGCTAATGTGGGTATGGCAATATGAACTGATGTACGTAGGTACGAAGTTCTACGTTGCAACTGACTGACAGAATGAATAATGGTGAAATTACGTTAAACAGAAGCAGAAGCTAGTAGATATCTATGTATATAAAAAAGAGTTCAGAAAGTACTTTTATGGTGAACGATTTATTGCTCTTCTTTCTCCTAACAGAACATTTTTTAGCATATATTTTTGATCGATGACCATTTTTCAAGAACATTCTGTATTCTCCCACTAACTTTCTTTATTCACAATAACACCACTGTTTATTTTTATCAAGTGATCATCTATAATTTACATTTATTATAGTAATCAGAGATGGATGGTGTTTAGCAGTAGAATCCAAAGTGCGTGTTTCGTCATATTTGAAACTTATCAGCTGAATAAACCTGTATTATTTATTGTATGAAGTTATATCATTTTAATATTATTCAATATTTTTCAACAAAACATTTGACCCCTATCGATTTAGTCACTTGAATAATTAAATTTTTCATACCCGCTTTAACTAATATTGTTATTCTCATTATCATGAGCACCAGCATGATGACTAGTTTACCATTGTTCTGTAGTAATTAGTACAATTCTTTTCATTTAGTCGACCGTGATCATAACAATTTGAACATTTTTCTTTTATCAACCTAATTAACTGCATAGAAAACTATTTATAGGTGTATAAACTACTTGGTCATTGTATAAAACATAAGCCAAAAATGATAAGTGAACATGAACGACAAGATGCTTAATGCATCATTTATATACTGTACACTATGTTGTTTACTGAACAAATTAGTTTCAGTGTGTGTCTTCATGAAGCATCAGGAGACCTATTCAACTACAAATTTCCTAGTAAAATGTCGAAAAATTCTTTGTATGACAATAATGATTATGATTAAAGAACAGGGCATTATCAAGGGGAAATTGGTTTAGATGAACGATTAGATCATATACTTCAAAGCAGATTATCATATCCCGATGGGATGGATATCAGAAGCGGTATTCAGTTGGAAATGGAATAAGCATAAAAGTGAATAATAAAGAGTAAAAACTTTCATTTATAAACCAATCTATAGAATCAATCAAATATAGGAGATCAATCAAAATGAGATTAGGGGTCACAATCTTTTAATTTTGTGCATCATAAAAAACTACAGCAATAAAATTGTATACTTTCCATGTATCTACTAATGAGTATGATACTCATAATCATATGATATATATATGTACATATATATATATAATTAATAATGATTGATATCATACTATTTTGACAATATACAAAATAAATCATTTTGTTTGTGTATGTATACGTAAATGTGTAAGTAAGCATTCCAACTGTCATATTTGAGTCAATTGACATCAATGAATACCTTATATACTGATGCTTAATAAATGGAACAAGGAGATTCGTTACAAATAATAACAATAAATTAATGCCAAGAATTACAGAGAAAGACTGAGAGATATGTAAAAAGTCGACCGATATGAATATCAACGTATATAATTCTACTTATTTTGACATATCTCCAGCAATATTTAATTCAACTATTGACGAAGAATCAGCCTTATTGAATGTGACTTAGATAAGCAACAAAATACATGACATTGGATTACATTTCTTAAAGTTAGGTGATCTATCATGAGACAAGCTCATTATTAGTGACGAGATGAGTTCATCTATGTTTCAATGTATTTACAGAAAAAGAGAGTGTGCGTGTGTGTGAGAGAGAGAGAGAGTGAGAAAATCATTTACAATTAGAAGTGTTTGTTTAATAACGAATTTTTATTGAGAGTAGAATTCAGTCAGTAAAACGATAATCAAATGACAATTAATTATTGACTAAAAAAATTACAAAGTGTTGACTTATAGTCAACTAAATACTAAAGATGTGCAAAACGTAAGCAATAAAGTGTATACATACACAAAAATTCATTTTATTACAACATATATGTATATATGTGTTGACAATATTAGATAGTTTTATTTTCTAAACTATATAATACTAAAATGTAACATGTCTGACTACTAAATAAAAATGAGAATGTCAATAGGATATCGGTTTGTAACATGTAGTACTTGTAAAATTTACGCTAAACACTTTCAAAGTTATTGGAATTCATTTCAAAGAGGGAGTGCATCATTTGCTGGCATTGTTCAAGCATATTTTAGTGAATAAGGTATTCGGATTTCAATAATCGGATTATGGATTTGAACTGTAAACTCTCCACTAACAGCTGTTTATGCAGTTAACCAGTACCACTAGCCTTTGTCCTTAAAAATTTCGTTTCCGAAGTCAAAACATATCAAATCTTTAAATTACTTCATTCTAACATAGCACGTTTAATTTCACGAAATAGCACAAAGGAAAATAATAAAGTTCAGGTAACTGTATAAGAGCCTTGTGTAGCAACAGATCATGTTATATTCTTGTTGACTAAATAATTACAGAACACTTATTGACAGACAGAACAAGAAAATGTAGTTTAAAAAAGAGCTTCTTTTTTGCCATGGCTGAACAGTAACAACGATAGATCCATAAGTAGTCGTATTCTCACACAATTTGTAAATGCAAACCATTTGAACAAAACCAACTAAAACAGAGTACAAATTTATCCACTAGGGCAAATGAAAACTTTCAAATATAGTGAGTTACCTTCACTTTAGCATTAATGAAATCGCTGCAATATATTCAGAGAAAACAGAACTGTGTCACCAAAAGAAACATATTGAACTTTTGCCATGACCTTGAACTCTAATTCACCAAAGTCAATACCTCCACAAATTCCCTTTTTAACTTTACATTTTAACCTTAACCAATTTATTGTCATCTTCATGACCATTCTAGTTTCATTTTATTCGAACAGTTTATGTAATCATTTTACGCAACCCTTATACACACTTTCTTAATCTTCTTAATAAATATTCAAAGTGTTACTAACTGCATGTTCAGTTGTTGTTATTGTTGTCTTTTTTGAAAACAAGAATAACGATTTCGTGCTTTAGATTATTTTGCATCTCTGTTAATATGTTCAGTAAACTTTATTCTCAATGCTGATTATTAAATGAACACAAATGATTGGATAAAAGAAGTAGTAATACAATGAATATTCTAATATGAAATACTTTAAAAGAAAAGAACTGATCTACACATATACGAGGAAGTGATGTTTCGATTTATGGTAAAAAATGCTACTGGTGAAATTTTTCACATAATACTCGATAAATAATTAAAGTTATTTATCAAATTATGTAGACTTATCGTCAACCACAAAAAATTTGGTCTTGTTATGAATTTTCAAACCCCCTACCATTTATGATGTCGTAATTTATGTGTATGCATTAATACGAAGTCTCGAACTGATCGTTTATATTTCAATAAACACATTCAGTCGTAACCCTGAACAACAAAAAATGCTCAAAATTACAAAATCTAGACATTTCAAATATGAGAGAAGAAAAAATACAGCCAGCACAAGTGAATATCAAGATATAACATTTACTTTTGGTTTAATGTATATATATATATATATATATATATATATTAGAGAGAAACATACCTTTACGGAAATAAATTTCAAACTTCTCCATATCTTCAAGATGTTTTTCTAATTCATATTCTGCTGAAGCAGACAGTGGATCGATTTCTTCATTTCTACGGTTGTAGTCTGTAGTGGAATGAGTACTGAACACCTACACGACAGTAAGGAAAAGATAGGAGAATATAACTGAGATGTGACAACAGAAAGAAAAAATCTGTTTAAAAATTAATAAGAACTAAAAATATTTTCATAAAGCAAACATTAAATTGAACACATAAATAATGATATTTAAATATGAAAAGTGGAGCGCTAAAGAACTTGAAGAAGGGTCTTATCCATTTACAAACATCTGTATCTTTCTACTTTACCTCTGCTATTAGTGAAAACAACTATCAGCCTCTAATGAAATAAAATTGAAAATGTTATGTCAGTTTAATATTTTTAGCATGTATTATTGATGAAGTATTATGTATATTCAATGGAAAAATATTGAGTGTTTATCAAAAATATGATCAAATTTGATAAAATGATAGAGTTGTAGTTCATTATAGCCATTAGTAAATAACCGATTTGTAGAATGTACACAACCGTTAAGCAATTTAAGTACAACATCAAAAGCAGTCAAGTAAAAAGCAAAACAAAACAAATTTAAAAGTGGACATCCGTATCAATTGTGCATATAGGGAAACCAACGAACAGTGAAACGATACGATGTGTCATCACGAATATCAACGAGTGTAAAGAACGACGAATATAAATTCAAACGAAAAAGCGTCAAAATTCTGGATCGATAGGATCGTAAGAATGTTTGGGAATTTTTCTAGAAGCACGACATTCCGGTCGATTCGCAATCATCAGGCATAAGGATTGAACCGATTTACATAAGAAGACAAACAATGGATGCACCCACGTCATCGAGAACGACTTTGAGATTCCTCATTCAAGATCTCCGGCCACTAGTTGATTAACCACATGATTAGAGGTCAACAAAACACGAGTTAACTTGGATAAACGATTAAATCAAGACAATGAAACCAATGCGGACAATTAATTACAAACAAGGTTATCAGAACACGCTGATTTAGCGTCCACTTTTACGAGAAGTAAACATTGTTGACGTATTGGTTTGAAGTGAACAAATGAAAAGAGTGAAATTATTAGGGACAGAAGGGGTAGAGAACTTGTTATTACTATAGAGATTATTTGTAAACATAACAAATCAATTTAGGGTAACAAACATGCATACATCACGACAAATCTACATGAATATTTATATGAATTATTTGTATCTGTTAATCATGAAAAAAAAATATAAGTATTCAACATATTGTGTAGTTAATTCATTATAAAAATGATAATCCCTATATTTATATACAACAATCATCATCAATATTAGCATGTGAATGAAGTGGAAGTATCACAAAACCATGATACTCATCATAAACACTTGTGATTATTTCTAGAAAGATACGTGATACGTATTGACTGTGACAGATGAGTGTTACTAAATCTGTTACCCGGATCAAGTTTGAGCAGTGTTAGGAAGGATGACCAAGTAAGTGATAGCTAAATCATAAGCCAAGTCACCGGTCGGGAAAGCCGATCGCTTACATCCCCCATAACTGAGATCAAGATACTTGAATACCTTTAAAAGTTGAGCCTAAACTAAACAAGAAAACTAATCAGCTGCAAACTAGTAATTATGATAGATTATCCATAATTATCACATGCATAACAAATATTTTATTATGTAACAATGTTCGAATGAAAAATCTTCGATTTTCGGTCAAACAGATAGGCCTAAAAAATGTATCAAAATAAAGAACTGAATATTACTAGTTCGAAACAAGTAATATACCGAACTGTGTGCATACTTGTACAATCAGGGTTCAGATAAAACAGTCAATAAATTCATACAAAACAAAATGGTTGTTTCGGCAAAAAATATTCTTCTGTGAATGTCTAGACAAATACTTTTCACATATACTGGCTATTCAATAGAGTGATTATCGAGTCCCTAGTTCATTTGACCGAATAGAATCGCTCAGATTACAGTGGGGTCACTAATCAAAGTAAGTTGAAATCGCATGCTTTATGATCTCAATGCTAGGTTTTCTGTCGGCTACGGCCATACCATTTGACAACAGACACTAATTTAGTTATTCTGAAATTACAAGCTGAACATGGTAGTGATATGCTGACAGATTTTTGACGGTAGAAAATTTTTCAGTGAATGATTACATCAAATTATTATTTAACAACTATCATATATATTGATTGTATAGTTAAGTGATCCACTTAAGTGACTACTGTGTCAACGACCACTGTCATAGAATGCACATCTAAATGAAATTTTGGCAAGCTAGTATAAGACAGAAACGAAATGAGCATGAAAATTTATTTTCAGTATAACACTGACATCAATTTGGATTGTGTACAACACTCTCCTAGACAATAATTGAATGCACTGAAGCATACAAAACATTAAAATTCCTTATGCTTTATTGTTGATACACTTCTAGCACTAAACGTATTAAGATACAAATCTAAAAATATATCATTTTAATGTAATAGAAGTTTGTAATTTTTTTTCAAATGACTTTTTTAGTGAAAGATAGACGCATATTTTAAAAATCCAAACATAGCACGAACAGCTGCCATCATAGTTTTCACCTGTACAAACGTGTAGAAACAATCATTCATAATGAAGGTACTACATATTGGAAAAAAAATTAATATCAAAGGTATACACCATTAAAATTAAGCCAACTGATGAAAGTATAAAACTAAGCTGGTCATTCAAATCTACCAAACAAGCATATCGTACTATACGTGAGTATTTTTGGAGATTTCTACGATCAAATGATTATTTTTAAAAAGGACTGATGCCAGTTGTGAAATAGCTGACAAATCCATAAATGTATCACCCTAGTTCAATAAAAGTCAGAAAATAGGACATGACCTAATTTGCCAAAAAATCGAATTTTTACAGAGTATGTTTACAATTATTAACTTTGTTTGATTTGAGGGAGACATCTGATTGAACATTTCAGTTCATGTAATACAAAATTATTGATACTTAATAACGAAACTGATTTTTTTTTCCATATCACACGAACAAAATTGACGTTTTTCTCTGTACAGAATAAAATCAGTGATCGAAAATCCAACATTAATGCATTTCACTAATCAATGTAACCAGATAGCTTAATACTTTAACCATGGGTTATAATCCATTAGTGAATGCAAGTGTATATATGAAAGTGCAGACTCACATAATATAATTTTAACTGATACGATGTCAGTAGTTAACATACTATGGGTTACAAAATACTAATTTTGTCAATCTAAATAATGCGTAAATCTTTCTTGACCATAACAATAGAATCCGTATACTAAGGAGGCAAATATGAAATTCAAAAAAGAAATAACTAGGGGTGAAAAAATGTGTCAGTTAGACCAAACATAATTATTCCAGTAAATTAAACTACGTAAACTGGTAGACAACAAACATATTGAATTGTTTAGACTGATGGTAATGTATATAAAACCCTAACCCATTTGTTTAGAAAATACAAAAAAAAATACGTTGCGCTGAAATTATTGTTTCGATAACACAACCCACACCGATCGATTTTCTAAAACATCTGTCCTACCAAATGTTACAAGACTACACAGCTCTCTTCATAATACAATGGTTAAATAAAAAAATTGTCTGACGTTAATATTAGATAAACAAAACCAGATATACTCGACTGTTTAGTTGTAATGTAAATGCACAAACATCAGTACGACTGCATCAAGCATTCAATGAATAACGCACTGACTGCTGACTTACTAGTGGTGGACGTTATGTTATCTATTCCATGACTCACTTGCGCTGTGGTAAGATGTAGGGTTTTATATATTAGCTGGAGAGCATATAGCTTAAGTTACAAGTTGATTGATAGGACCAATGAGCTTGACGTCAAGATCAATTTTGGTGTAAACATCTAATTGTTACATGAAATCAGTTGCGACCAGCCTAGACTAGTGGTAGCGTCTTTAGTTATAACAATTTGTGGGTTAGTATCCTGCAAGGATTATAAGTTCCCTTCAGGTTGAGGATATGAATTAGTTGACTAGTGCTAAGAAAATCAAAATTTCGATCAACAGGATTCCATAAATTACCACAAATTAACAACATCCTACTTTTAAGTTCTTAAAATTGTTCTTTTATGAATAAAAAAACAGACCGAAACAACTGATATACTTAATCTATATTTAACCGCCCGTCAAACAGACCGGTGTATTTTTCAAAATATTAACAAGTATTCTATATTTTTGTTTGCTATATTGGTCGGAGTTGGTATACAACAGACAAGGGTTCCCTAAGATTAAGGAACATCAGCAATACTAAGAGATTCTCATGTTTTGGTAGATATCAAGGAAAAATCTATAAAAATTTAGTAGTCCTAATGGCAGTAAAGAATTAAACGAGAGAGAGGATTTACGATATTGAGAAAGAGAGGAAATGTAACACACAGAATATTGTAATGTTAAACATCTAAAGAGAGAGAGAGATAACGACTAGTAATTTATAGAAACCATAAAAAAAACTTACCAAAATAGGTTCAGAACTAAATCGAACTCTTGGTTGTTTGACTAGACTATCACTGCTACCTGAACGTTTATTGACTAGTTTGTCTGTGATTGTTGATTTTGGTGAATTAGATGAAAGGATTTTGTCTAGATTTGTTTTAACGTTTTCTTCATCATTTAATTGTTCAGTGGTATACGGAGAAGAAATCAAATCGGACATATTGGTGACGTCTTCACGAGAATCATAAAAATCTGAATCATCGGAATACTTATCATTTAATCCAGGAAGAGCATATAAGAAATTGCCATCATCAAAAATATGCACCCCATCGTCATCAACTGCGAAAAGAGAAAAGGAATTGTTAGAAAAGTATCTATTAAAATACTGAAAATGCAAAAAAACTTAACTAGACTACAAAAGTAGTATCTAAATACAAATAAAAGAATTGAGATCGTTTTGTTTGAATAAACGTGTTCTTCCCTATATATTATATTGTAGTAGATACAAAAAAGAAACACTACATATATCTAGGTAGTTGACAGTGAAAAATGACTGATGGTAAATATCACAACTGAATAATCAATATTTTCAGTTCAGTGGAATTCATGCTGTTTGTATGTGTTGTAATAAATCAGTATTAGAATCCATAGATCATCTTTTCCCATAATTAGCCGAAAAATTCATGTTAAGTAATCATAATTCGTTTGTTGAGTATTGTAAATGTTTCCAACATCAATATTGGGTTATTCATTACACTACAAACATTTAAGTACTTAAGGTACTTGAAATATATTAAATAAACAGCTATCATTTAAAGATAGGACATAAGAAATAGGGAAAATTTGTTCACACATAGTGCAGGAAACGTTCGGATATTTCAACTGTATAGTAAAGAATGAGAGAGATGAGAAAACAGTCTGCAAAACAGTAGATGAAACAATAATAAACAGAAGATAGTAGACTCATCCTGGATAAACAGAAATTATGTTAGGAATATTTACTGGTAGTTTTTAGTGCCACTACTACTGTTAGAACGCTTAAGTACAGAAAATTCTAGCATAAAATATTGTTTTTTTAAAAAAAGTTTATTTTAAAACATGCTGATGAATCGTGAACTAGGGGTATTTGACCACGGTGGAAAATGAAAGATGATTCCCACAGATAGATTTTCTGTATGGTAAACGACCAAAATAATTCGTGAAAAATTCTCAATTTAAACAAATAATTTGGAACGGAATAGTAATCCATTAAAAATATACGGAAAGTTCAGATATATAATTTTACTTATACAATTTTATTCATCTCTAAGTGTACAACGTTGAAATTCACTCAATCAGTTTATAAACAACGTACAATATGATACTCACTCATGTGCATAGACCAAACTAATTACACTTTAACATTAGGATGCAGTTTAATTAAAAACAATCAATAATCAGTATATTTTTTTTCAGTCAGTCAGTCAGATGCAACGTAAAAACTTCGTACGTAAGTACATCAGTTCATGTTGCCATACCACATCAGCACAGAGAAGTAATTGTCAATTCAAATCCAGTAGTAGAAGAGGTAGTAAAGGTATTAGAAGTAATCGAAGAGGTTAGGATTAGAAGATATTATTCAAGTATGATTTAATGAGAAAAGTTTAGAAAGTCACAACTAGAGGTGTTGAAGAATCCAGAAGATTAGGATTTGAGAGAACACAGAGAATAAATGCACTGGCGCCATTGCGAACGATTTTGAGCCATGTCATTCAAGGTCTCTAACCATCGATTATCATCTCGCAGACCCTAACCAGATAGTCTACATCTACCAACATGGCTAAGTCCACTCGTCAATGACTTCATGGATTTCTGCCATGTTTTGGTCTGGCCGACCCTAGCTCTCTTCCAACCTACCGTTACACTACAAAACAAAGCTCGACGAGGCAGTCGGTGGTTGGGCAAACGTAACACATGTCCCAACCACCTCAACTGATGAAGTTTCACCACTTCGTCGATTGATCTGCCATCCTTACCTAGTAATCGTTTCCTAACGACAGCATTGCTTACTCGGTTGTCCCACGGTATACGAGCAATGCTTCGAAGACACCTATGATCGAAAACCAGTAACCTACGAATATCTTCTACTCTCACTGGCCATGTTTCACAGCCATACAGAAGAATGGAGCGAACTGCTGCACAGTACACTTGTCCTTTAGTCAGCAAACGGATATCTCGCCTACGCCATAAGTGACGCGAGTTGGCAAAAGCCAATCGAGCCTTCTGTATCCGAGCTGAGATTTCGTCAGTCACCAGGCCATCAGCACTGATGAGACTCCCAAGATAAGTGAAGCGGTCTACACTCTCGACTACTTCACTCCCTATCACTAGTTAAGGTGCCAATGCAACCCAGTCTTGAAGCAACATTTTGCATTTCGAGGGGGAAAACCGCATCCCGAACATGCTTGCATTGTTACTTAGGGTGGTCAGAAGACTCTGCATTTTGTCAGCGTCTTCACCGAATAGAACTATGTCATCGGCATACTCTAAGTCAATTTTTTTTTAGCAAATATTCTTTTCTCATTAAAGAAATGATTAAATGGGCAGAGAAGTATACAGAAATTTTACATCTACTTCATAAATACACTACTATTTTCATGGTTCTTATAGACACAGACAGACAGATACAACGCAGAACTTTGTAGGTAAGTACATCCGTTTAGGTTGCCATACCACATCAGCACAGCACCTTAGTCATTTCGAAACTCTAACATATTCACTGATAAGAACCATGTATTACAGACCTGTATTAATTGTAATACATGGTTCTTATCAGTGAATATGTTAGAGTTTCGAAATGATTAAGGTGACAAAAATGTTAGGAATTAGTCACAAAAAAACCCTATGTAACTTATGCTTTTAGGATGAAAAAATATTGACTAACATTGATGACAATGTCTTACATTAATCTTAAACATACATAACAATGTATTATTTATGTGAACTTATGCATAATGGAACTGGTAACTGTATGACATTTCTGGTTTAGTAATTACCAAAAAAAAAGGATTGACTTCAAGTACAAGTTAACATAGAACGAAATGAATAATGAATGAATAGTATGATGATAATCAGATAGGCAGTTTGTTTGAGAGATCATTAAATACACACACACATACACACATACATAAATATACAAACAGGGACAGTAAACGATTTTTTTGAACTTTATGATAAAAAATTAAGTGATCATCTACTAAAGGAAGAGGAAGCATCCAACTATCTAGAGAACAAATGAGTTAACAGAAAAGAAGGGAATGGAATTGGAAGAAAAACAACTCAATAAATTGAAAACCAAGCATTTTTTTTCTTTATTAAGGATCATATTACAACAAAAAGTAAATACAATGGGGGGAGTGAATATTCAGAAAGTATTTTAAAATAAACAAACAAGCATACAATAAAAATGGAGCAAAAACAAAACTAAACATCGGCAGTTATTTTTATCATCATTTCAATTGTGCATGAACAAACGAAACTAAACAAATAGTGAAAACAAACACAGGATAAACAAGAATGTTTCAATAACACTGCACAAATACTACTCATACTATGTATGATGATAAGAAATAATATGTAATCGATAATAAATACATCATCAAAACATCAACCGAATAATTTCATTGATTAATCTACAAGAATAATTATGCTTGTTTCTAATGGTTAAATATGATTTAACTGATGGTATACCAAAGAAATATGGTATAATATCAATTCGACATATTCAATGTTGAGCGAAAATTAATTAATACTCGTTGAAATAATTACTTAAAATTTAAGCTTTCACGAACCACATACTACTGAATAACGACAGAAAAGGTCAGATTCTTTTAATGCAGTATATAAAGTGCAACCAATTTGTATGAGTCTATTTCTCACTTAATATGGGATTAAAAAAGAAAATACAATACAATATATTTTATTAGGTAACAATATTTTGAATAAAATTTCAATTTACCTGCCACAACATTTAATCCTTTTGGAACAGGCAAAGTGATTAGTGGGCTGAACGATGTGTTACACTGAGATGAACTAATGACAATTTCAAAAGAATTTTCCGTATTGTCAATTTTTTCATCTAAACCATCGTCATCATCTACAACATTTACTGCAACAGGTTCAGCATGTTGTAATACAGGAAGATCATCAGTGGGCTCTTGACAAACAATTTCGGGGAAAGGTGAGTTGTGAAATGCTTCAGGTTGAAGAACAAAATCCTACAGAATTCAATCAATAAATTGGCAATGAAATAAATGAATGAAATCAAAAGAAACATAATAAAAGTGAATACGTAACTTAGATTGAAATTTAGTAGAATAAGGAGGTCACTCAGTATATTATCAAGAAATATGGGTTATGTATTTGATTGTTAGTTGAAATTAACAAAAGCCCTGATAAATGAATCCACTGTTGCTTCAATGAGCAAATGATGTGCATGTCAACTGTAATCTATAAAGCTGAAATAATCAAACTTAATGAGCATACCTGAGTGGGAATGTGAAAAAGTATAAGAAATTCAAAACATAATAAAAACCTCTGTTTTATTGGGGTTGATGCGAGCAAACAATACATATAGAACTTAGTCTTGGATTTTGTGAAACGAAACATATTTCGTTTAAATTGCTTGAGATGATTTTCATTGACTGATTGATTTATGTAGAAAGAGATGAATACACGAATGAACTGTTCACTGCAGTGCAAACAGTAAAGTGAATAAGTCGGATTTTTTCTTGGTCAGTGTTGCATTAAACTAACATCCCAACTATATAAATATTTGAAAATAATTCAATAAAATCATTTAGAAACTGAAATTTAGAAAAAATCCTAAATATTAGCTATTTTATGAGTCTTTGTAAATATCAAAGTAGCATCGAAATGTTTCGAAGAATTGTATTATTCAAATCATCAAAACGCCGACATCATTTATTGTGACTTTTGACAATACCAACAAACTATTGGATAAGAATTTCTGCTACGATTTTTCAACAATATAGGGATAACGTTTTGGAGTTCTGTCGCCATATTATTTTCGGTAAAAACGAAACGTGGTTGCTAAAGAAGCGTTTGAAATACTATTAACATGTTTAAGAAAAACTTTATCTGGAATCGAATATTTCCAAAGGCAATATGTTTAAGGTGACAATAAACAGTTTACATCACTCAATGCCATACCTGGATATCCGAAGAATTAGGTCTTGTATAATGATGGTCAACAGAAGGATCGTATGTGCTGAAACAAAAACAACCAATTAATGGAAAAACCGTTATATCCAGGAAATATTTTAAAATATATGATAACCATTATGCAATATGGGGTGGCCTAAAGGAAGATATGGCATCAGTAGATATGAAAGCAATGACTAGTTGACGAGGTTGTGTTAGGGAGTGTGAATTTTCTGGTCAGTGACAGCGAAATAATATAATAGTAGGTGAATTGAATTAGTACTTGAATATGTGTCCCATTATATATGAGGGCTAGTAATACAACCACGCTGCCCAGAGCGAAGTAAGTGGGGAAGGGTTCAGACCTAGGACTCAGTGACTGAAAGTCAAACTACCCTAACCACTAAGCAACTGTTGCATATTTATTTGTGATAATATTCAATAAACATTAACGCACATTTATAAAGCATATAAATACTTTGTAATACTAGGCAGTTGATGAATAATAAAAAGTACATAAATAAACCCTGATTGATCAAGATATGTATACAGTACGAGAAGCAAACAAATATTTTTTCAGATACACCAAATAAGAAAGATAAAGATGGATCTTCTAGTGTCAGATTTCAAAAAGAGATGTGTTAGTATAGGTAACTAGACTCTCAGTAGTGGACAAAACAAACATTATTTATACAAGACGATAGCGATAAAAAAAATTACAAAAAGCTAGATTTATTTAGGACTTTTATCCACATAAGCGTAAGTAAATGCTTGGTTTATTTTTTTTATCTAACTCAGAGTAGATATGATGAACTTAAGGGACATTTGAAAGATAAATGAGAAGCAGAACATCACACAAGTAGGAAAACATAAACTCAAAATATATGACAATTCAACGATGCCTTAATATTTAAAAAATACAACATAATGACAATGATTTTCGTTAGAATAATGGTCTGTTAAATAAATAAAAACAATTCGTCTAAAAGGTCACTTACAAATGAGTTGATTGTGGACTTAATTCTTCGGAGGGTTGTATAGCACTTTCATGTGATTGAGGACGAGCTAAGAAATTTTGTTTTAAAAAAGAACTAATTATAGAAAGTTTGACTGATTCAAGTAGAGATTAGGATAAAAATATTTAAGGCTGATTTCTATCATTTAAGTGATTGTAGAGTAACTCACCTGGTGATAAATTAAATAATTATGATGACTATTAAATGCTGTTACATTGACTTATGCAATATCAATATCAACTTTAGGGTAAGAAGGCGCACAAGCATTTATATTGTTATGAAAAGAATGAAGGGTTCGGTAATGTCTTCACTTCTGCCAGCTAATTTGGGTTTCCCTAATAAGTCCCAAGGCTGATTTGTCACGGGTGTAACTAATGCACTTGCAGTCCCAATATAAAACTACGTATCCTAGGCCACCAACACCGTTAACTGGTCTCGAGACAACTCTTCCTACACATCTAGCGGCAGAAACAGTGAACACACTAAGGTTGCAAGTGATCTGATTAGATTTAACAGTTAGTATTATTGAAACTAATATTGCTTCCGCTTGCATTTTCTTATAATTGACTACATTTTTATAATAATGTTCTTAGTGAAAATGAACAACAACTGTATTATTAGGTGAATCTGATTTGACAGTTAGAAAGACTTACTATCGCAATTAACTAAAAAATCCAAGTATAATGATGAGTAGTTTTATCAACACTTATTCATAATCGAGTGCTCCTAAGATTCTAACAGTGATTGATAACATCAATCATTTAATCTGGTAATCCAGTGTACTTTAAGAAACTTTAAAATTTAAGTTTATTAAAGTTAGAATTTCGAACATGTTGGCGATGTTAACTTAATGATTTGAAGGTAACGCATATATTCGAAACCCTAACCATCGGATACATTCGATACATGGTAAGGATGGTGGCGTGCACTGCTGGCGATGCCTGTATTTGTTAAAAAAAAACCTGTCTAATTCTGATTGGCTTTTTCTAGTTCTCAATTTAAATATAAAACACGATTACAAAAAATACATACCATTATTATTATTATTATTAGCATAAATTATATCATTTTTAGTTGTTTCCTCAATCTTGCTAGATAGACGTAAAGGAGTTATGGAAGCATAAGACAAACATTCAATAGGATCTTTGGTTGTTTGTTGTGGTCTGGCTTTGATAATAGTTACAGGAGTTGAATTTCGAATATTAGTTGAATGTGACAGGCTTCCATTTCCTTGTTCTGTCGATGGTTGATTATCTGTGCTATGACCAATAGAATCGCTTAGGAAAATAAGAGTAAGGAATATTAAATTTGGAGAGTAATTATTAGAGTATTACAGTCTAACAGAATACATTTCGTAAAACAATAAATAGAAATGAGTGGGAATTGATATCGGTTTATCACCTATGCAATCACGAAAATATTGAGCTGATTGGCTACTTATCATTTAGTGAAAATTGCCATCAACGATCAATACTCGTCGAACTAATATAAGCCAAATACGAACTAATTTCTGAACAACGAGTAATACATTCTTATTTTTACTGATACGAACGACCTCAAACGTTGATCGAAGTGAATAAGAAATCTCTGTTAGAAATTATGAGGATAACCTCAGTAAGTCAGTCTAATCAACGTAGAGCCGGATACACACATGCTTTGGCTCAAGTTGCCACAGTATATTAACAAGAGATAAAAAAACCATGAATAACGAGAGATTGCTGTAGTTGTAGAACCATTTGTGATAGTGAGAAACAATGAACAAAAGCAATCTAGAATACATCCAGGTTTCAGGAAAATATAGTTTATGGCAAATACTGGTTTATTAACCACCTTTATTGACAATGAATTAATTTGGCTGGTACTGAATCATATTAAAAGATTCTTTTCATATTTGAAAACGCTGGGTGTGCATAGTAATGTGGAAATATTTAAACTGACAAAATAGCAATCCGCTAAACATACACATTCATTTTATGATATAAAACAAAATTTACACACATACATAAAAAAAAACTACGGTTACTGTGCTATAAAGAAATAATAAAGATTAGGACATACTTGGAATTTTTCACCGGTTCAGTAGCATTATTACAAGATGGATTCTCAGCGGTGATTTTTAGAGGAACTGGTTTTAGTTTTACCTGTAAAAGGGTTGAATATAAGAAAATTCAAGACATGAAAGTAAAGAAAGGAATTGCTAGTTTACGTGTAGATCCCTAACAAAGTAGCATTATTTACGAAAGATTTCTACCATAATAATAAAACTTAGATTTACGCTTCAAGTAATCTGCTAGTATTTCACATGAGACTTTAAAAAAGTAGCACCTACGATAAATTTTGATTCGATGATGAAAAGACGAAGTATGATAGAACTGTTATGTTAGTGCACTGAGTTTCGAACTATCTGATCACAATACACTTATTGAAACATATGAAAGTAAAAGGTGAACCAGACAAACTGAAAGGTAAGGGAGGATGAATATAATAAGGAGCACAATGTGAATCACACTACACTGGACCAACAGAGTAGCTTCAAGGTGACAGACAGACAGACAGATACAACGTAGAACTTCGTACATAAGTACATCAGTTCAGGTTGCCATGCCTCAGAGACGCAACTGTCAGTTCAAATCCAACAGTGATAGCGATATTAAAAGTATTAGCAGCAATGGAGAAGATTAGGGAGCGAAGATATGATTCGAGAAGTATAATTCAGTGAGATGAATTTAGAAGGAGAAAGATAGAGATTGTGAGGAATTCCGAAGGTTTGAATTTCAGAGAACACAAACAGTGGATGCACCTGCGCCATTACAAACGATTTTGAGCCATGTCGTTCAAGGTCTCTAACCACTGAGGACATTCGTCTCGCGGACCCCGACCACGTAGCCTACATCTATCAACATGACTCAGTCCACTTGTCAGTGATTTCATGGATCTCTGCCATGTTTCTGTCTGGCCGACCCTAGATTTCTTCCAACATACTCCTACACCACAAAAATAGCTCGTCGAGGCAGTTGGTGGTTGGGCATTCGTAACACATGTCCCAACCACCTCAACTGATGAAGTTTCACCACTTCATCTATTGATTTGCCATCCTTACCTAGAACTCGTTTCCTAACGTTAGCATTGCTTATACGGTTGTCCCACGATACATGAGCAATGCCTCGGAGACACTGATGATCGAAGACTAGTAGCCTACGAATGTCCTCTACTCTTAACGGCCATGTTTCACGGCCATATAGTAGGACGGAGCGAACTACTGCACACTATACTCGTCCTGTGGTTAGCAAGCGGATATCTAGCCTGCGCCATAGGTGACGCAGGTTGGCAAAAGCCAATCGAGCCTTTTGTATCCGAGCTGAGATTTCGTCAGTCATCAGGCCATCAGCACTGATGGGACGCCCCAGATACGTGAAGCGGTTTACACGTTCGACTACTTCACTCCCTATCACTAGTTCCGATGAAGTCGCAAGCCGATCCTGAAGCAACATTTTGCATTTCGAGGGTGAGAACCGCATCCTGGACATGCTTGGATTGTTGCTAAGGGTGGTCAGCGTCTTCACCGAATTAAACAAGAATGGGGAAAGTAGACATCCCTAGAGGACAACACTTGAAGTAAAGAATTCCGATGACAGTTCTAAATAAGCTCTCACCGACCAGTAGTTTTAGAGTAGAGAGCTTGTATAAGGTTAATGTACTTCTTTGTTACCCGTTTCAATGACAGACACTGCCACAGAACCTCACGATCCCCTGAGTCAAATGCCGCTTTTAGGTCCAGGTACACAACTATTGTCGGACGTCTAAATGTGTGTCTGTGTTCCTGGTACACCTTTCAATAACAGACACTGTCACAGAACCTCACCATCCACAGAGTCCAGGAAGACAACTATTGTCGGACGCCTAAATGTATGTCTGTGTTCCAGGACCTGTCGTAGTGTGAAGATGTGGTCTATTTAGCCACGTCCAGGTCTGAAACCAGACTGGTTTTCTCGAGTCTGCTCTTTACGAGCTTTCGTTAGGCGCCGAAGTATTATTGAGGCCAATATTTTAGATACTATACTAGTTAGACTTATTCTCCTGTGATTGTCACAAGAAGACTTCTGTCCTTTCTTATAGATTAGGACAATCAGTGATTGAGACCAGTCGGATGGGATCATGTCCAGTTCCCAGATTCTACCTAAAATTTCAGTCAATCTAGCTGCTAAAGCTGGACTACCATTCCTAAAAATCTCAGGAGTTAGCCTATCAGGACCTGATGCTCTACTTTGCCTTAGATTTCCAATAGCCTTTTCAACTTCATAAAGGTTTGGAGGGCTTACGTCGACTTGCCACTCAGGATGACTGGAGATCGTGGGTATCGGAAGTGTGGCTGAAGGCCAATTGAACTGATCCCTAAAGTGTTCTGCCCATCAATCCAATCTCCTGGATTGAGAATAAATAATAGTCCCGTCCTTTTCCGAGATAGTCTCACTTACACTGATTCCTAACACTAGTTTCCTTGATAAGTCGGAAAAGTTGTCTACTGTCGCCGATCGCCGCTGCCTTTTCCATCGTTCTCGCTTTCGCCACCCATCACTGTTCACGGTCGTTGCGTAGGCTTTTTATCAGCCTGCGCCTAAGCTGACTTCGTTCTTCATCATGTTCAGAGCCTGGGGGATGAGTTTCCGAGCATCCATCAGTTCGGCGGATGTTACTGAGATCCACAGAACTTCAAGGTGAGAACAAAGTAAAGGTTTAAATCCTCGTATAATTAAGGATTCCAAACCGTAGTATACGTTTCTGAACAATTATACAACACTACATAAGCCGAATTGATGCAAACACTATGATTCTTTTCAAACAAAAGTTTGGCAATCGTGGGAGTTGCTAAGTTATCTTGTGCCCTTATTTGACCACTGAAACTCCGTTCTTTTTGTGATCGCCCATACGAGACATTAGAAACCCGTAAACTACCAATATTTTTTCAGAAAGTACTAGTGAAGTTTAAGCTCCAGGACCTCTGCTTGAAAATTATGATTTAACACGTAGACTAAAAGAAAAGATAAAATTTACCTCAGAAGCTGGAACACTTTCTATTTGAATCTGCAAGTAATTTGAAAAGGTTAAAACTACTTGGTGTATTAGTTAAAACATTTCAACCTTTTTTATTAACAAACATAAAATTATTGACTATTTTCCTTTTAAAAACGAGAGTTCTTACCTCTTCAAGAACGGAAGGTTTAGACAAAGATATATGACGAGGCTTAGGAGGTCTTGTAGGCGGAGATTTAACAGGAGAACGTGATTCAGGTAAAGCGAAAACTTCATCAACTGATTTGGATGATTTAATACTGTCAAAGCAAAATTAGACCAAAAATCGAATGATAATTTACAATAAGACTAAAATTTAATTTTTGAATATAGTGAAAAAAGTGCCAGTAGTGAGCAAAAGTAGTTAAAGGATATTATAGTGCACCATTTTGAAAGAAAAATAACCTGATGGTGAGAGGTCGATTCCAGCTAGCCAGCAGAACAAATGGATATATTAGAGAACCAACGTTTTCATTGACATGCAAATGCTCAACCGGGATGATATAGCTATGGTGTTAAAATGCTCAATGTATAAATAATCAACGACAGCACTTTAACTACCAAGCTTAGCAACATATGATAATTTAACAACCCCATAAATGTTAAAGAACATCGTACTCTTGCGTTAGACACGTAAAATAGGAAGAGGGCGAAAAACTTACCTAAATTGAGTAGATTCGTTTTTATTCAAACTTGTTCGATGATTGCGCAAGGTTTTCAGAGGTGGGGACCCCGGAAAAGCCCTAGGTAAGACGATATAATAAAAAACAACCATTATTGATCCAACTGATTTCCGAATTCATAGGACATTCTGCATAAACTAAGTAAAGGACTCATGTTCTTCATACTCCGAACGTGTAAAACGAAGTTAGGCGAGTGAGTCTACGTCACTGAGAATAACTATGGGATATGACTACGGACTGTTCAACAATCACTACTAAATTAACTGCGATAAGAGACTAAGACTGATTGTAGCTAAAGCTAAATAGATGTAATATGGTGTCTCCATCCGCATCATTTTAGATGTTTTCACTTTGCTAGTCAATAGCCTTCAGTTTTTAAGTTCTTTAAGTCAGTTATGGAGAATGTATTAACCGAGCAGCTTAGCGCCATTTGTTATATTTTCATAACGACGAAAGTTTGGAAACATTCATTAGCATTTCACACAGATACATTTTGTTAGGGGATTTCCATATAAGTATGATCACAGAAACCAGAAGCTCTTACGATGTTTATAACGAATACATTAGGGTTGTGTTTATTCTCACTCCTTCAACAGTAAGAATATTATATCCACGGAATACACAGAATCGTGGAGGCACAAGACGAAAATGCGCGTAGATATTAAGAACGGACTCTAATTGGGGACATAATTCCAGACTGGGAATGAATTCTCGTGTAAATAATGAGGAGAAAGTACTAATCTGGATGTTTGCTGCCCTGCTGAATTGATATAATAAGTGAGAGACTTAATTGTTTAGTCTCATGAGACAAGCACAGGCATGCCGATGCCCATCAGCAAAAATTACCAGGTGATCTGGTGTTCCTGTGGATGAGTGATACGACGAACCTTACTAAGGATTTTTTACGAAGGAATAATGTTTAACAATCTGAATCAAAAAAACACAGCTATCAGGTTGTTTAAAAAATAGTGGAACTAGCCTTGAAAACCTCTCAGCATCAGAACATGTGTATGCTGAAAATACGGAACTTTCCACATCAAATCCCTCTTCAGTATCGTCAATCGGCTTAACAACTCCTGTTTGGAACATATCCCTCAAGCGCGAAACTCTCGAAAGTCTGCGAGGACACATGTCTTCTTTTGAAACTACTTCTTTGTTGCCATTGGCAGTGTGTAGAGTGTCGCTCAGTACAGACATATTTGGCCCAGTAACTAAACGTATGCTGTCAACACATTGATACCATTTCGCCACACAGTATTCGAAAACCCGCCAAGAGGCTGTAGCTGGACAAGTGACCTTGCCTGGATAAAGCCTTTCCCTCAATTAACAATCTATCTGATTGAAACTTATTTGCTTAATATTCACATATGAACATATATGTGAAATGGATCCCTTTTCAAGAAAAAGGGTGCAGTTCGAAAAATGAGTGAACTTGTGAGTCCATAAATGTCATCGCGCTTTATTATTACTCCAAGCAGCCAGATAATCACGGAATTCAGCATGTTATCACTCGGACCTAAGACTGACTTTCATTCAGCACACTCTTACAAGTAGTTAAGCAATGACTAAGAGAAGCAGCTCGCCTAGTCAGAAATTCACAGTGAATTAATTAGTCCTCTCTTTTCCCGATTCCTAGTCCTAATGAATGTTAGGCTGAATTGGCTGCGGTAAATGTATGATCAACAACCCATACTTCCCTCACTAAACGCTGACATTCAATTCCAAAAATAGTCATCTGAGGCTTGAACTAATGGATCAAGGTGTATGTTGGGAATATGAGTAATGCTAGTTGCTATGGTAAGTTGCTTGACAGCCAATCTCACTGCGTTGGAAATACGATCCACAACCCACTCCAACAAGAAATAAATCCCTCCATTTTTCAGGGCAGTAGATGAAAATAGTATTTCTCTCACTGATAACCCTCTACTCTCATAGGTAAGCCGGACTACCTAAAACAATTCTGCTCTCTAAGAAGCGATCCGAAGCATTTGTTGAAAACCTAACTTACCAGCCAGGACAAAACTCTAACTGATCAGGATTAGATCAGACAGGCCTCCGGGCAAAAATTAAGAAACTGTTTGTTATTTGGGCACTGGGAGATAAGAAAGTGTTCTTCAAACAATTGTGAACAGGACATAAAAATCGTTCGCTGAAGAAGGTTTTGTTCTTAGCTGTTATAGATCTGTGGGATCAGGGTCCAATTTGGTAGTAGTGCATTTATCTATGCTACTATATTAGTAGACCGACTTCGCAGTTGTAGATTTACCCTGATGTGGCTATCCAACCTGCAAAACCGTAAGAGAGAGTCACATCACTGTCTTTATTGATATGCTACTGACATGCCAATTTTTTACAGGCAAGATGTCATTCTTACGCGAAGCCCATTTGTGCGACAGCGGTGATAAGAAGCCATTTACAGATTCCGTTCGATGAGTTTATTTCAACCAATCGTTCATACAGACAGATAAGAGAATACGAAACATTAAAGCAAAGAGAGGCTAAGTACAGAAGAACGACAAGCCAACTCCAATTCGCTTTGCTGGTATGTCTTGAATTCTCGTTCGTCTGCTTAAATGAATCAGGAACTATTGTTTGGGATAGACTCATTCAACGGAATCTGTATTCCGCTTCTTAGCACCGCCGTCACACAAACGGCGTTCGCCTGAGTATGATATATGGAAAATGAGTGGGAGATTCATTCCATCACATACTCAAACGTTCTTTAATAAAGCATTCAGCTCGTGGGCTCCGTATTGAATTTCACACATCCATTAAATTGGTGAGCCTAACTAGCAGTTTATAAAGTTTAAGATTAAGGCGGACATCAAAATATTGATGAGCTCTACTTTGAAATCCTACTCGACTGCAAAGATGGGTAAAATCGTTGAACATATCTCTTCTGGATCTCAAACTCTCACGTTTTGACCTGAAGAGCTATGACTTCAACCATCCTAGGTGCTCTTAGTCCGACGGACTAATACAGATTGCTGAAAATGGTTTCTCCATATTGGTTGTATGTTCACCCTATTGTATTAAGTGTGTCGGAATGGCTCTGTCAACAGATTTAACTTAGCTTCTTTGCTTAACCACAATGGGAGGTGCACGCAAGCAAGAAAATACGAATTACCAGAGCATTTGCCGATTTAGATTACTCCAAAGGTGCAGTTGGACTGCAAGTTACACAAAGAGGTGTCTAGTCAAAGTAATTTATCTTCCATTCTCGTAATGACTATCCATTTGGCAGAAAATTTCATGAATTGGTTTCGTGTGACGGGTTAGTGAGCCGATAGTCTATTTGGCAGTGTTATGATTCTGAATTATAGATTTCTTCAAAAAGATTTTCGTAAGGTGTCAGCTCCACCAGATGTTTCTAAAGATTTTCAGGAGAGTTTGTAATGACGTGGGTTATAAAAATCGCCTTATTCCCTTAGCTTACCAGTGGTAAAGACTCAAATATTTAAAGCGTTCGCTGAACAGCTTAATTTTGAGTTGATAAGCAATCTTGATAGCTCATCTTTGCATACGTTCTAGAGTATTCTCATACTTTTACTTTAAAAAAGAAAACGCTTTTTTTGGTATTATAATTAGGGCTGAATGGGCAGATTAAAAATTCATGAGAAAGTCCCACCGTAGCTTCTGCATCCTTGAAGCATAAAATTCCTCGGTGAATCATCTCCACGTGTATCTACCAGCCCATATGCTCTTGCGGAGCCAAGTACATTGGTATCAACTCAACCCAGTGTGGTTCTACAAGAGTAAGAGGAAAGCAGTTAGAATATAGTGATCTACCTTCATGAAGAGGACGCGAACTTTTAAATGAAAGCATTCATTATTATAACCAACTGTACAAGTGATCGATATACTGTACGTTTTGTCTATTCCACTCAATACTCGCAAACGTTCTATATGTGTTGCTGCCATTTCGACTCCATTGTCTCTGTAATTTCGCCCCTCTTTCCTGGTACGATTTCGATAATCTTTCGATACCATGAAATCTCCAGCGAATATATATTCTTTCGCATTGACCAACGTTTTTTCTCAGTGACGGGCACGTAATTGCTCTGTAGTGGTGATCTTCGACAATATCGACTCGCAACGCTAAAAGAAATTCGATTATTGATCATTCAGAGGATTACAATCAATATACAAGTCAGAATGTTGATTTTGGGGCCGCTTAAACAATTCGTCCAAATCTACCGAGATTTTTTCCTATCAAACTCCTTAAAAAGTATAAACTCTTGTCATCAATGAGACAAAGCCAAAACCATTCGCATAAATATAGTACGACTTATCCTAACATTGACTGCGGCTTTAAGCCATTATTCCTTTGCTTCGTGTCTGAAAGAATCCCGCTCTTTTTAACCATTGCTCATATCCAAAGTTGTTTTTGCTAAATCCCTATTTCGTTCAATCTTCGAATATTTTTAATTAGTTTTATAAATCACATTCTGTTTGCCTCACCCCAATTACATCAGTTATTTACTAATTGATAAGTAACAAGCTTCTAAGTTTCCCAGGGATTTTCATTGGCATTGGTGTAGAATCCTTTTTGAATGTTTTGTGTTTTGGAAAATCCCTCCATGTTTACATATTTTTGTTATGACATGACGGACTTTTTCTGTTGACATTTTTGGTATTTTATTTGATTCCCATTTGAGATTTTATCATTGTATATTGTTATTCTTTCTATATTTTGTACTTATATTGAAGTTTTTTTGTTTGCTTCTGAACTGTACATATGTTGTTTAAAATTGATATAATATGGCCACCGCCACATTTTTGGATTCGATATCGTGCAGTATAGAAGTTCACCTAGACCTCGGAACCTTGATACTCATTCAGAGTAATTTTGAATTGGAAGGCGTAAAATTCGTTAGGTATTGTTTGTATTTCCATTTATTATCTATTAATAGACCATTTTCCCCTAGAATTATTGTGTTCTTATATTCTAATTCGGAAAGTGCGTCCGACATACGTCTATTGGAATCGAATTGAACTGCCACGGTAGAAAATCCAATTACAATTGGTAATAATAATTTATTATTCCCAAATAACATTATGTTACCAGACGCATGTCATCCTACGAGCTAGATGAAGTTGTGACAAATGCTACCACAATCGTGCAAAATAATAGTGAAGTTAGATTAGAAAAAAGAGTCTGTTTTGATACCACATTCGCTTTATGTCTTTGACGGGAAAAGTCTGACGCATCCACATTTTCAATAAGTGAGTATACAAAGGGGAGGTAAACATAATTTTGCATAATTTTGCAGTTTATTTGTATATGTATATCCAGAGCATCGCTTAACCTTTTATGGTGAAGTAGACAGTGCAGTGGTAAAACAAGATAAAATTTATTCTGACCACTAAAATTTAAGTAAATTGTAATAATATAACAGAGGAATTTAAAAGTACTGCAATGAAGAATGGAGGGTTATGGAGTTTGTCAAGTGGGAAAAATAGAAGTTGAGGAAAGAAGCTGGACGCCCGTATACTGAAACCCAAGGTTCAGTAAGAGTAAAGTTTTTAAAGGCATTGATAATTATATTTCTCAGTGTCTATCATTTCTTTTATGAAATGTCAAACTCTAAGTCATACTGTAAGTTCCTGAGTAGGCTAGTTGCGGGTTGTCTTGGCAGAATGGCGACCTCAGGATATTTTTGAAAAGATGAGTCTCAGAAGTAATAATAATAATTTACTCTCAAATGACAAACATATTACAAGAGGCATGCCAATTTACAGGTAATATCAAAATGTTAAGATTGGCAACATATTTCTTTTAAGACGGTGTACAGTTACTGAAATATTTCACAAGATACATTGGTTTCATATAGATAGCTAAAATTTTTCACATGAAATTATAGATAATTTTGCAGACTGTGCAGTGTACAATGCGAATAACTGACGCGAGTTACGAAGGTTGCGTTACGACGAGCTCCTTAATGACCGCGAACCAATGCAAGGTAGAGCCAGGTCTGCATTTAACAAGAATTGATGAGGTAAACGTGCAAAGATCTGGTTGATATTCGTCAGTTAATAAGTGGCAAGTGTATAAGAGCAACCTTATTATTAATGATTAGTCGCATCATCAATCAAAAAGCCTCGAAGACAAACAAATGACGAAACGCTTGTGGCTGAATCTAACAGAAATCCCCCCAGAGACTGCACTACACGCCATTGCTATACGACAATTCAGTAAAAATTCCTACTTTATTCTCTGAATAGAACCAACAAACATTCAAAGTCTTTAACCACAACACGTATCTGCATACAGAAGTAGTATATAATACAATATACATAAGACTGATTGTA